TTATGTGGAGTTGGGGAAGGTGTGTGATGAAGGGCATATTACAAGAGAGTGGGCCAAATCTAAAAATTCTCAAACTCCACTTATGACTCAACAAATATATTTAGAAGACGATATCTCCTCAGGATTTGTGAAAGTTGGTGTAGATGTATCTTTATTTAGTGATTGGCCTGATGTGGAAATTAAAGAAGAGACCATAAGAGCAAAAAAGATACCATTTATTTCATCTATTGTTTGTGGTATCTCCAAATAGAAATGTAAAGTGCATGCTATTAATCAAAGACTTTAAGAATACATCGTATTAATGGTTGATTGTTTTACTCAAGTTGCAAACGTTATCCAAAATATAGTAACAAAAGGGGCCTCTAAAAATAAAATTTATCTGAACTTATGACTGAGCTATCAACCATTCTTGGATTTTTTGAAGAATATGTTGATACAATATACACAACTTATCGAAGAATTAAGCTGATAATGATACAATCTTTCCTCTCAAAACGTATAGAGTCAAAGTTAGATGGATGCATAAAGAGCTAGAAAAATGATTCATGTTGTAAAAAATGTTAGAACCTTGAGTTGTAATATCTAGATATTTTTGGAGTTCTTTTGTGTTACTTGTATAAATATTTTGAGTTGTAATGCCTTCAAATATATTTTGGGGTCCTTGGAACCATTTTTAATGTTTCAGACTCAAATTTGCACTTTCGAAATCTTTCCGGATCTCTACACCCAAATTTGAATTATTTCAAGTTTTCAAATCGCAGAAAAAATTTCCCAATGGCTGCGATACATATTTTCAGATTTGTGGAGCTTTGACATATGAAAATAAGGGGCAACTGATACGTTATCAAAAAATTATCTTGATCGGGCAAGAATCACGAGGCAAAATCAAGTTGAACACTTCCAAAATTTAAATTGGGACCATCCGAACTCCGATTTCAACAAACTTACAGTCGAACTGAACATCTCAGAAATGCAAACCCAATAACACCAAATTTGACTCAATCTGAGCCCAAATGAGTAAACATCAAGGGTCCGAAGTGTTGTTGGAGGGTTCGAACCACAATTTGGATTACCAAACATTACGTGCTTATAGTCAAATCGAGTGGCTCGACGAGAAAAATCCAATGAGCCTAAGATCACTGAATTCCGACATCACCAAGACATTCAAATGTCTATCAAACAATCCATGATCAAGGGATTCAACATCGGCCATCCATCCAAGCAACTCCCAATATGCTCTTGATCTACCACCTATTTACGAGTCATGCCACTCCAAAAATCTATAAATATACCCCTCCTTTTATCTTGAAAAGGGAGGCTTTATACAAGAGAGAAAAAGAGAGATCGGAGATCGCTCTAGCCACCTCGCTCCTCCTCGACCACCGCCGGAGTTCCGCCAGACCACCACCTGAGACGACCCGGACTTTTGTCGGACCATCACTTGAGGCCCGTACTTCTATCGGGCCACCACTTGAGGCCCTGTGCTCCACCAGGCCACTACTTGAGGCCCAGACTTCTACCGGGCCATCACCTGAGGACCAAACTTCTACCAGACCACTGCTTGAGGCCCTGTGCTCCACTAAGGCCACCACTTGAGGCCAAAACTTCTATCGGACCACCACCTGATGCCCGAACTTCTGCTGGACCACCACTTAAGGCTCTGTGCTCCACCAGGCCACCACTTGAGGCCCAAAGTTCTGTTTGTTCACCACTTGAGTCCCGGACTTTTATCGGATCAACACTTTAGGCCCTATGCTCCACCAGGCCACCACCTGAGGCGTGGACTTCTATCAGACCACCACTTGATGCCTTGACTTATGTCAGACCACCACTTATGGTCCTGTGCTCTAGCATTCCATGACATGAGGCTCAAACTTCTGTCTGACAACCACCTAATGCCCGGACTTTCGCCAAACCACCACTTGAGGCCCTATGCTCCACCAGGCCACCAACTAACGTTCGGACTTCTGCCGGACCACCACTTGAGGCTCGAACTTCTCCCGTATCACCACATGATGCTCAAACTTCTACCAGATCACCACCTAATGCCCAGAGTTATACCCAGGATACCGCCCTTCTACTACGGTCTTTCGGACCCCTATCTCCTACCGACTATGGTCTGACCTCCATCACTAGACAATGATCTTTCTAACATATTTCTCCTGCCGACTACGATCCTCCCAACCTCCATCGCCTAATGCGATCTTTTTGACCTCTATCCTATCAACTATGGTCCTACCGACCAAACAAACATGTATATGATGATTATTATAACTACCACAATGTAATGCACTTTATATGATGTATATTTATGACATCAAGCCAAAACCTTCCCCTAAAGAAGGGCTTTATTTGTAATTGGCTGCAAATACTAGTGTATTCATTCAAATTGGGCAAGGCCCAGTGGTTTTCCCCCCTTTTTAACATTTTCCAAGTAAAAAACTCTAGTGTCTCTTATAAATGCTACACACTCTCTCTTATCTTATTACGTGATGGATCTTTGTGCAATGCTAAGACGTTAAACTATATATTTCTCTACCGCCGCGAATACTTCAGGACACAACAATATGTATTGTAGAGTGCATATTTAATTTATGTTATGTATTGATATGCCATCAAAAAACTATCTTGATCGGGCATAAATATCAATGTAAACATGAATTAGAAACTTTTAAAATTAAAATTGGGATAATCTGAACTCCGATTTCAGCAAACTCATAGTTAAATTGAATGTCTCGAAGAAACAAATCCAATGGAGCTAAAAGTAGTCCAATCTGAACCCAAAGGGGTCCAAATAAAGTGCCTGAAGCCTATTTAGAAGCTTCAAAGTATTAATTGGATGGAAAAATGATATACAAATGTACCATGCTTATAGTCGAATCGAGTGGCTCAAAGAGAACAACGAGCCCAAAATTGTCAAATTCTGACATTATTAAGACTCTCAAATGCTCGATAAATGGTTAATAATTGAGACAGTTGACACTGGCTGTCCATTAAAATACTCCCAACGTGCCTCTGTTCGTCTCCCTATTTACTAGTCATGTACTCCAAAAATTTTTTAAATATACCCCTCATTCTTCAGGAGGGAGGAGGAAGAGAAGAAAAAAAAATGATCTATCTTGCTTTCTCAAATTTGCACCACCAGCCGGTCTCTTCCCAATAACCGATCGTCATCAAACTTCTGCCTATTTATTGATTGTTGTTGGGTCTTTTCCTAATAACCAAATATTTCGAAACATCTACCCAACAACTGATTAATACTGGACCCCAACCATCGATAGACATTGACATAATATTTTATGTTATTTAATTTACATTAAGGGGTCCTATCTTCTGAAGTTTGAAAATATATTCACCATATTATATTCTCCCTGACCTTGAGTGAAGAGATGAGTTGACGCCGTTCTACTATGATCCTTCCGACTTCTATCACCCATCAATTACTATCTCTTTGACATCCGTCACTCAATTACAATTTTTTTGACATCTGTTACTTGCCGACTACAGTCCCTCTAACATTCGTCGCTTAATACGACCCTATCAACCAAACGAACAGACTAGCATTCTCTTGCGCATAATTGTCATATCATTGCATTTTTCATAACTCTCACAATGTAATACGTTATATATGATACTATTTACTACAGTGAGCCAAGGCCTTCCCTCTGAGGAAAGGCATCATTTGCAATCGTCTACAAACACTAGTGGAATAATTTTTTAATTGGGTAATGCCCATGGTTTTTTCCCTTTTCAGTGTTTTCCACGTAAAAATGTCGGCATCTCTTACTATTTTTGCACCCATCTTTTTTATCTGTATGTGTGCTGGATCTTTGTTCAAAGGTAAGACATTAAGTTATTTATCTCTCTACCACTGCGAATGACTGGACGCAACATGTGTCATAGAGGTAATTGTATAAACCATGTTGAGCATCATAGATGTGCTATTTTAAGGCATACTAGATAATGTAGACTTGAAGTTTTAAGCATAATTAGTGTCATGCATCATATTAGTAAGAGAAAGTATTAATTTATGATATTGCATTAATAAGTGAGTCTTTAGGGGTGTGAGTAACTCACTAGCATGGGTGCATGGTGCCAAAGGAGATGATTGTAATATCTTAAAATCTAAAGTAGAAGAATTTATTTTCTTTTATCTTTTTTATCTTTTAACTCATTCTATTTTTTTTTTCTTTCAGTTATCAATTAATAGTAATTTATTTATAACTATACACAAATTCAAATTTTTATTTTAAAATTTTTTCATATTTAGGATTATTATTATGCCAAACAAAAGATGCATATTGCTTTTGATGCTAATCTTGATGGCCCTCTCTCACAATCTCATATATTTCCTTTTATGTGGCAAACGTACAATATTCTAAAAATAATGATTATTTATATATATGAATTTGAATTTAAAATAATGATTATTTATTTAAACAAATAATTATTAATTTTAAAATCTTATATATTTTTTGATAAATAGTTTATTTATTGATCATATGATAATAGCAATTTTAAACAAAAAAATGTATTTATTTAATTAAGCCTATATTGCCCATTATTTAATAAATTTAATTCAAATTGAAGTATTTAATATCAACTGATAATTATATAATGTTTTTAATAATGCAAAATTATCGCTTAATTTTATTAAATATTTGGTATGTGAGTATTTTTTAAATTTTGATTTGGGCCTACTAAACAAACGTCTTGACCATTTCAGTCACAGTCTCTAACGGATACCGCCGTATCACTCAATTCAGCTCGCGACGGCTGCGCCCCCGCCGTTAATGGTGGCATTGGACGCGGTGGGACCGGTGGCCAATCATAAAATTTGTTTGACGACCTAACGGCAGACCTAACGTGGACTTGAAAAAAGACTTTACTCTCTTGCTAACGACGTTTAAACGCAAACGACGTTATCGTATCACACAGACGCCGTCCAGAATCTGATCCCTTGTGTCTCCTTCCCATAAAGTCTTGGCGTCTTCTCGCTGGTGAGCTGAGCGAAGAAGTGGAGAGAGAAGAGAGAGAGCGGAAAGTATCTCCATTACGGTCTACTACATTTTCACCGCCTAACTAGCGGGGGATAGTGGAGGGGAAAGGAGAGGGAAGAGTGAAGGCCTTTTTCATTTGGAAGCAGTCTCAAGAGGAGAAGAAAGATTTCGGCAACTGCGGTGGATTTTTGAGTTAGGTGAAACAATCTGGTTATCTTCCTTTTTGTTCTATATCGTAGCGGGTTTCTGCTATGACTATGTTTTTAATCCGTTTGTTGACATGCTTTTTATGCAGATCTTTAAATTTTATCCCCTCTAGTTTAAATGATTTTTGTTGCTGCAGTTTTTGTTCTCCGATCATGGGATTTTAGTGCTTTTGACAATCATTTTTTCTTGTTTTTCTCAGATCTGACTGATTTAGGTACCAGCGTTGAAATTATTTTTTATTTGAAGCGATTTTCTTCTCGTGCGCAGTTTTTCTTAGTATTTTCTTTTCTTCGGTTTGCTTCTGTAAGTATGTAGATCAATGTGTAACAGTGTAAATGATCAACACTGATGTAACATATGCTTCAGGATGATCATGTCGATTCTTTGTCTATCATAATTTATCGTTTTAAACTGTTTAAGGCCACGAAAATTTTCTTGTTGGTAGTTTACTATTTGTGAGAGATTCTTCTAAACGATTTACCTTGATTTTTTCTACTTTATTGGGTTTTGATATAAATGAAGTTCTCTCAGCGATGGCATCTATGGGGTAATATTTTCTCATGCCCCACGTTTCTGTTTGTGATGCTTTTCTCCTTTTTAGGTTTTTTTTTGTCTCTATAATTTCCTGATCTGCGTTTTTCTTCCTATTTTTACAAATCGTCTTGATTTGACGGAAAACATAATAAAGGCTTTTTTGTTTATATGTTTTTTATGTTTTTTCTTTTTGTGGAGTTTGATGCTTTGTCATGGGATTTTTCCATATATTTTTGCTCGTGTACTTTTCCATCTAATTTCATTTCCATTGAGACTCATGCCATAAGTAGTTTAGCGTATTATATTTTTTTTAGTGTTCTTCAGCTGGAGATTGTTGAAGTTAGGGTTACGATCTATCATTCATAATGTCTATATATTTATGTATATATATATATATTTTAACTTTTTCCTTGTGATTAGAAGCGTCATTCGGTAAGGTAAGATGATAGACTTAGCTTTTCTCTTGTTGCTGCTGCTGCATTATTTTTTTACCCTTTTATTTGATGTTTGTTGATATGCCTTGTTAAGTTGCTGATTATTATTAGCCCTTCTTTTTAACACAACTGAAACAAAAAATCAATTAGATGCCTGTTTCCTATTTTTTTGAATAATTTTTTGGTACATTTTATGCTGCAATATGCTTTAATGATTTTATGGCATGGTAGGATTTGTATTTTCTGCGGTCATCATTGTCTTAGTGCATGCTATTTTAGACTTTTGTTAGTTCATACTGATAAAATAGTAACTAAAATTTCTGGCTGTTTTTCAATCAGATGAAGCCAAATCATGCAGATATGAGTTACTATATTAGTATTCATTAATTGTAGTTTCTGTTTTAGGGTAAGGCTGCCTGTTCCCCACATATGCCCATTATGCTAATTTATGGAGTCTCAGGGTCTGTTTGGAAGGCCTTTTCACTACTTAGCTTATCAGATCGCAGCTTCACCTTTGCTTGGCTATTATCTTTGCTTGTTTTCACAAATTTTGCGGTTAGAAGCTGTAAGAATGCTGCATTCCAAAATTTTCAAAACGAAGAACATTTAATTATTTATTAAATAATAGTTTAAAAGTTTGCTTTCTTTTCAGCATCTCTATAATCATCTTTACCCATGGATATTTATGCGGCTGCTGCAGCAAATGCTATGATTATGAACTCTTGTTTCATTCTGAGTTGTTGTCTCTTAGTGGAGCATTAATTACTGATCTCTATTGCATCATACCAATCATATTATTCAAAAGTTCCTGATCTTAGATTCTATAGATTTTACTTTGATCGGTTTTTAAACAGAACTTGATTCATTTCCTGGTTTTATATTTGCAGGGTGTTAACATGGTTAGAAAGAGACGAACTGATCTTCCTGGTTCTGGTGATGGTACTGGTGCCAATGAGGGCTCAGGATCTCAAAATCCTGGTGGTGGTCGAAGAGATGGAGCTCAAACTTCAACAGCTTCACAGCAACAGGGTGGAACTCATCATTCTCCAGCCCCACAGCAATTGGGTGGAGCTCAACACTCTCAAGCTGCACGACAGCAGGGTGGAGGAGCTGGAAGGGGATGGGGTCCTGGTGGCCAACAACAGTTAGGGGGACGAGGTGGGGGTCATTACCAGGGTCGTGGTGGGGGTCAACACCAGGGTCGTGGTGGTGGACAGCCCTCTCGTGGCGGAATGGTCCAGCAGCAACCTCCTCAGATGGAGTACCAGCATTATGGTGGGCCACATGGTAGAGGTGAAACCCAGCAGCAGCATGGTGGCCGCAGAGCTGCTGCACATGCACCAGCTGGGCAAGGAGTTGCCCCATCTGCAGCCGAATCATCTAGGCTGCCGCTTCCCGAGCTGCACCAAGCAACACTAGCTCAATGCCAAGCTGCACCTGGTTCTTTGTCAGAGGCAAGCTCATCAAGCACTGATGTATCTCTGACGGAGCGGGTTCAACACCTTTCTCTGCAGGCCGAACCCTCAGCTAGTAAGGGTATTGTTCCAGTTTCGAGCAAAACAATGAGATTCCCATTGCGCCCAGGCAAAGGCAGTTATGGTACCAAGTGTGTGGTTAAGGCTAACCATTTCTTTGCGGAGCTTCCTAACAAGGATCTTCATCAATATGATGTGTGTTCTTTTTCTATTTTGATTTCAAAAATTGGAAATTATAATCACACTTCTACTCCAAATATTAATTGAGAAGTCCTTTCCGTTTGAAATACCCATCATTGTTACTGCTTTTATTTTAATAGGTTTCAATTACACCTGAAGTTACCTCACGTGGTGTAAACCGAGCTGTGATGGAAGAGCTGGTAAGGGTGTTTAGAGAGTCCCATTTGGGTGGCCGACTTCCAGCATATGATGGCAGAAAGAGCCTTTATACGGCTGGACCTCTTCCATTTAGTTCTAATGAATTTCAGGTAACACTAGTTGATGAAGATGATGGAACTGGGGCTGAAAGGTACCTTTAATGCATTGTAACCTGTTTTTGTTCTGATTTTGCTTATTGTAACTGTGCTGATATGACATCATATTTTTGGTTCAGGCGACATAGGAATTTCAGAATTGTTATAAAATTAGCTGCTCGTGCTGATCTTCATCATCTGGGAATGTTTTTGGCTGGAAGGCAAGCAGATGCTCCTCAGGAAGCTCTTCAAGTTCTTGATATTGTGCTGCGTGAGTTGCCCACTGCTAGGTAATTATCTTTTTTTCAAGTTGCTTTTATTCCTTATTATGACATTCCATTGTAGTATATGTTTAAGAAGATTATTGTACTGTTAACCATAGGTATTCTCCTGTTGGGCGATCTTTTTACTCTCCCAATCTTGGTCGGAGACAACCACTTGGTGAAGGTTTAGAAAGTTGGCGTGGATTTTATCAAAGCATCAGGCCGACACAGATGGGCTTGTCATTGAATATTGGTATTATTAGATTTTTTTTAAAACATTTTGTATTTTGCTTCTTAGGATGAGTTGCTTTGTGTGGTTTCATTTGTATGGACTTTGGAAATTAAGGAACATGCGGTTTGTGTTATTTATTAGTTACCTGATTTTTTGTCTTCTTATGAAGAGTTTTTCTTTCTGCTATTTTATTAACATCTGATAAATGTTAGCTTGTTACACATATTGGACGTCTTTTGTGGATACTGTTTTTTAAGCATGAAGATTATATAATAGTGCTGCTTGACTTTCTGGGTAATTAACTAGTTCATTCAATCATTTCCTCAATGTTAACTTTGATGTTATTCAGTCTTGTTTGAGAATGTATCTTTCTGATTAGGTTTTTGATTGAATATTTTCCAATCTGCATTCTCTTTATAGAACGTGGTCCTCATAAATTTTGAAGCATAATTTAACTGCTTTTAAGGAATATTTCTTCTATTGATACTTTTATTGCATAATGCACATTGACTGTTTTGTTAGGCATTATTGATTTTTGTTTGGTTCAGCTGCTATTTAAGCACATCTGAACTTGATTGTAGATTGTTACTTATTTCACATTTTGAATTCTTCTTTAAAATTGGACTGTCAGCAAATAAAGCACATTTTTTAATGGTAGTGCTGCATATGAACTCTGATAATTTTCATATAAGCTATTATTTTTTATTTGATTTGATGTTTGTTGAAGTATGTTGTACTAGGCACGCTTCCTGATTTGTGTTTCAATTGGAAATTTCCAGTATGTATGAGTTATTTTGAATGTGTCCCACTAATTCAAGCACAATATGATATGGAAGGCAGATGAAAATATGTTTTTATCATAAGTAAGCTGCATATTCGGTGCTAATTTTCACAGCTTTTTGCGGTTTACTATGTTTTCTTATTAATTAGTGTTATTGGCACTTCGATAAAACTTTATCAAATACTGCCTACAACTTGCTTGGACGGATGTTTTGTTCTGCTCTTTCTACCTTATTTTTCTGAACTGAAATTTATTTCCTGTTTGACCATAATTTCTCTCATACAGATATGTCATCCACTGCATTCATTGAACCACTGCCAGTCATCGACTTTGTAAATCAGCTTCTCAATAGGGATGTTAGGGATGTTCTATCTAGACCATTGTCAGACTCAGATCGTGTCAAGGTGAGTTACCACAGTTTCTTGATGAATTTAGGTTTATTCTAGTGGGGTATTTGAAAGTCTTTTTTTTTTCAGTCTTCATATTTGCTTGTCTTGGGTGGATTCTTACAATAGATGGGTTCACTTGTTAATGCTTTGGCCAGCCTACTTTTGTTTTGTGTGAACAATAGAAGTAATTGTATGGCAGGCTTTTGGTTTTAACCTTTAACCACTGTGAGAAAAAGATTTAGCTCTATGAAATCTTAGAAACCATCAGTTTTATTCCAGCGGGGTATGTGACTTTATAATTTTCATAATGTTCATATTTTGGGTGGATTCTTTCAAATATCAATAGATGGAGATATCTTTTATTTTATTTTAATTTTGAGCAATAAAAATAGTTATAAGGCATTCGGTTTAAACATTATGAGAAAAAATTAAGCTCTATATAAAATCATACAAATTCTCTTTGAATGTTTGTTGAGATGGCTTTCTCACAAATGGCTTTTGTAAATATGAGCTTTTCTATTTAATCAATAAGTTTTTTTTTTAATTAGTTTAATTACTTGTCTCTTGGTGTTTAGTAATTTTTTATTTGATATAAAAATGATAAAAAAAATGTTACCAATGGTCTCAAGATTAATGAACATATGATAAAACTAGTTTAAATTATATGTCAATATTATTTTAGATTTAATTTTTATTTTAAGAATTTATTCTGATTTATTTTCTATTTTGCAATTCATTAATTGTTATTATTTATATTAATATCACATACACAATAATTTTTTATCACATTTACAGCAAATTTTTAACTTCTACAGCAATTTTATCAAACAATTGTCAATTAGAACTTTTATAACAAGTTGAGCAATACTTTTATCAAATAATTATTTGCTTGCTCTGCAATATGAGTATAGCGTGGCATAGCTCAAAATAGCAATACCGAACGGAGCCTAAGCATCCTGTTGATGCGGCTTTCATATGTTTTTCAAGACATTATTATTATTTTTTTTAAATTTATAATTATTTGTAAAGATGCTTTTTTTGTGTTTATGTAGTTATGCTTTATGTTAGTTTTGTTGTGTTGTAGTGTTTATGTGGTTATCTATGATGCACGGACACGGACACGACACGGACACGGGACGGCTTTTTTTGAAAATATAGGACACGGGTACGGCGCGGACACGACAATACATTTTTTTATATAGTGTATATATTAATGTAATATCATATTAAAAATGACAAACAATAATAAATGAATGACATGATAATTTGTCTAGTTTATAATATAAAATATTTAGTACACAATATCTAGTACAACTACAAAAATAAAAGCAAATAATCACTTACTACAACATCAAACATTCAAGCTTCAACTACTAGGATTAGCTTTAGAGGTTTGTTTTTGGCCTTCAATATCATCATCATTGAATATCACTACTTTCAACTCTGGTTCAACAAGAGAAAGATTTGTAATTGTGCAAAAAGAGAGGAGATGAAAATACCTTCACTGCCAAAGAGAAATGAATATGAGAATATTCGATGAATGGATATTAAATGCAGATGTTGATTTGGTTGTTGTGGATATGAAATAAGAAATTTTAGTTTAAATCTCGCCAAATATAAGAAATTATATTTTTAAAAAATTATAACATATTTAAGATACGCGTGTCGGACACGCGTGTCCAATTTGTTTTTAATATTTTTTTAATCGGACACGTGTCGGAGGAGTGTCGGACGAGTGTCGTGTCGGACACGGTGTCGGACACTGCACGCCTCTTTGAAGAGAAGTGTCGGTGCATCATAGGTGGTTATGTTCCTGTTAATTTTTGTTTACTTTGAAAATATCTTTCAAGATGTAAGCAACAGGATCTTTATGCTTGTCCTTTATATGAATAATTTCTCTATTTTATTTCGGCTTCTTTTTTTTTGCTAATCCTTACTGAAAAATTAATATTGCAACGTTTTACACATTTATTTTTATATAAAATCCATGTTCGTATTATATGCATGTTTTATTTCTCATTCAGATCAAGAAGGCTCTAAGAGGCGTGAAGGTTGAGGTTACACATAGGGGTAATATGCGCAGAAAGTATCGTATATCTGGTTTAACGTCACAGGCAACAAGAGAGTTGACGTATGCTTCTTTTTAGATATATTCTTCATATTTGCTTCATAGTATTTATTTTATTATTATTTTTATATTTTATTCTGTTATTAATGTTTATTTGTAATCATTTTATTTTGGTCTTGATAGTTTTCCTGTTGATGAGAGAGGTACAATGAAGTCGGTGGTGCAATATTTTCAAGAGACTTATGGTTTCACCATCCAGCATACTAATTGGCCTTGCCTACAAGTTGGCAATCAACAGAGGCCAAATTATTTGCCTATGGAGGTGTGTTCTTCTGTTTGTCTTTACGGTCTTGTCTTTATTACTCTTGAAATCCTTGGACCTCAGGTATTCTTAATGAAGAGCGTCAGATATTAGTTGTTTGTTCTGGATATATTGATTAGAAAGGGAGCTTAATGTTGGATAGATTTTGGTAGATATTCCTGAGAATGGCTCCATATGAAATGAACCACATAAGAGCAAATGGTAGATATGAAGAACAGGCTGTTTCTAAAGTCTTGTTCTTTAAAGTTTAAATGTGGTGCTTGCTAGGAAGACTTCAGGAGGTGGCTCTATCGTGCCTGGTATCCATAAATCTAAATTATAGATTGGCTCTATTTTTTTGAAAGTTGTCGGAGAGCACCAGTTTGGAATGCCCTAAAATCACCAATTTTAAACAGCCTCCTCCCCAGAAATTATAGTTTAAAAAAAAAATTGCCTGTTTTTTCAGGTGTGCAAGATTGTAGAAGGACAGAGATATTCGAAGAGGTTGAATGAAAGACAAATAACTGCTCTTCTTAAGGTTACTTGCCAACGTCCAAATGACCGTGAGCGTGATATTATCCAGGTAAAGTAGTTTTTTTTACAAAGTTAATTTCACAGAAGTACTATACTTTTTTTTGCTTTACTAGAACTGTTGGTTTTTCACAAAACGTATTATTTATTTATTTTTAATGAATACCATACCTTCTGCAGACTGTTCATCACAATGCATATGATGAGGATCCATATGCCAGGGAGTTTGGAATTAGAATCAGTGATAAACTTGCTTCTGTTGAAGCACGCATTCTGCCTCCCCCTTGGGTATGTAAAATTGCTCTATTTTCTTTTATGAAATTCTTTGACTTTTTTCTCAGTCTTTAAAACTATCTGCCGTTACTTTTGCAGCTGAAATACCACGAAACCGGTCGGGAGAAGGATTGCCTACCGATAGTGGGCCAGTGGAATATGAGAAATAAGGTGCTTATGTGAAACTACTAGCGGAATGCATGACATGCAATTTTAGTTTAACTTTTTGTTATTATTATATGCGTTATAAGAGGTCACAAGGATTGCAAGCAAAGAATGCTGTCATTAGAAGTTTATAACATTAGTTCGTTTTTTTCTAGATTCCTTGAACCTGAATGTAGCACATGTTATATACTTGTTTGACTTGTTATATTTAAACTTTAGAAAATCCATATCTGGGATTTATGATGTCATATTTTTTATTTAGTCAATAACTTCCATCCCAATTTCTTGGTTTGACTTTGTAATCCACATTCTCCAAGAATGTTTTTTCAATTAAGTGTGATATGTGCTGTGTTAACTTTATTTGCAAAATACTTCATCAAAGCGTTTTCTTCCTAATATATTTTCATTAATTTAATTTTATCTATTTAAATTAGTTATGCTTATACTGTTCATATTAGCTTATTCAAATCATTTTAAGTGGATTAAGGCTATACTTTGTGATGTTTTTGTGTTTGTGTTTAAAAACAGCATTAGTTTTTTTTTTAAATAACGTGCTAGTTGCCTGTTCAAATTCTAATTTTATGAAGTTGAAAATATTTTTCTCATTATTATGGGTTTGGTTGGCATTTCAATTTTATTTTGTTTCTTTTTTTGACCTTTTTCATGCATATAGATAGTCAACTTTTGATGCAGTAACATAGATGAAGGGCACGATTAAGCCATTTAATTCTTGAAGTCTACTAACTTAAGAATTGAACTTACATGTCAGTGTATGCTTTAGCTAAAACTAGAAGTCAGACTTGATGAATTATGATTAATATAAATAAGTTAAGTTAATTAGTTAGTAATTTGCTAAAAGCTATGTATTAAATGAAAATAATTTTTAAGCTCATGAGAGATAATTTAGGTTAATTAGCTATTCAATATTCAATAATGTCTATAAATATACAAAAAAATCCACATCTAGTTATTTGGTCTTTGTTTATAGATTTATAGATCCTTTGATATGATTCAATGGGTATGGTTTTGATCTTTTACTCCTGAAAATCTTGTTCTTTCTTGAAAACCTTTTTTGTTTTTAAACATAATTTTACTTTAAGGAAAAAAAAAACAAACATAATTTACTTTAATACGAATGATTTTTCTTAAAAATAGTTTTTCTTTGGAGTCCAGGCTAATTGTCTGTAAAAATTGTAATTTTACGTAAGTTTTAAAAAATTTCTCATTAATATGGGTCTGGTTAGCATTTCAATCTTTTTTTTTTTAAATAATTTGAGCTTTTTCATGTGTATGTAGAAAAAACTCAACTTATGTAGTGACACAGACGAAGGTCATGGATTTAGGGATTTAATTCTTGGTGTACGAACATTTTAGGACTCTAATCTACATTTCAGGTCAAGCTTTAATTAATTAAAAAACTAAATGGCGGATTTGTTGAATTAAGTGATTAATATTAATAAATTAAGCTTAATTTCTAATTATTTATACTAAATTGACCTAATTTGTAAGTTCATTAGGGATAATTTAGGCCAATTAGTTATCCAATAATATCTATAAATACACTAATAAAGTCCAATGTTCTGATATGTTGCAATTGTATAGTTTGATCTTTTACTCTTGAAAATCTTGCTTTTTCTAGAAAATATTGTTTATTGACATAAACTATTTTTTCTTCAATGTTAACGCATTTAGTTTTATTTATAAACTTGTGGTCCCCACCTAGCTGGTTATATCCCCTTGCCTTTTTATTCATGCCCATGTTATTTTGTTTTTCCATCTTCGTTTCCCTTTTCGTCAATTAAGGAGGGAGGGGGATGTAAATGAGCTGCTCATTGTTCAGTTTTGTTTATTTAATTTCTTCATTTTATGTGTTTGATTTGTGTTTGTTAATATTAGATACTTCTCTGTTTGGGTTTTTTTTTTCCCAATACTCTTGTTATTTTGTTTTTCCATCTTTGTTTACTTTTTTGTCTATTAGGAGGGGGTTGTAAATGAGTTGCCCGTGGGTCTTTTTTTATTTTTTAAATATTTGTGTTTGATTAATGGTGGTTGATATTTGATATTTTTTGTTTTTCTTTGGCTCATTATTTTTGAAGCTTGATAGGATGACCCAAAAATGAGCTGCACATGGTTCAGTTTTGTTTATTTAATTTTTTCATTGTTTGTGTTTGATTAGTGTTTGTTAATATTAGATATTTCTCTGTTTCGGTTTGGCTGATTATTTTTTAAGGTGGATTTTAACTTAAAATAGAATTACAAAAATAACATATGTTGGATTTGGACATGAGTTTTTCTGACAACAATATGTTCAGATCCTTCAAAACGCTATGTTTGATGTGAGCATGCATGCATGTAGCAATTTATGTATGTATGTATTTATATATATGTGCCCCGATACAACAATTTGTTCAAATCCTCGGCTCTATTTTTGATGCATGCAGTTTTTTTTAAATAATATTTGTGTTTGATTAATGTTGTTGATATTTTATAATTTTTTGTTTGACTTTTAATAGGACACAATGGAGAAAAAGGATTGATGTAGTCGACCCCACGTAGTGGGATAAAGGCTTGATGTTGTTGTTGTTGTTTGGCTCGTTATTTTTTAAGCTTGATAGGATGACCCAAAAAAGTTGGATATGAAGTGTAGTCTTTTTCATACAAGAACTTGTTTAAATCCCTTATCCCCTATGTTTGATGTATGTATGGATGGATCTATATATCTTTGAGCATCTATGAAGTGGAAACAATATTATGTATGGATGACAGACACTTATCCGACACAATATTTTAATTTATATTGAAAATATTATATATATATATATCGTAGTTTAGCAATTTAAGTAGTTATGAAATGAATTTATATACTACACTAGTCTCACCGTAATAAACGGCTTTCATGTCCATTCTGATATAGTTGCATCAAGATATCTTCGCATTTTTTTTAATTATCATTCATGATTTTGTCTCAAATGCGTGTGTCCATTAATTGTTTTTATGTTTTAATCGAACACAGAGATGGTGTGTCTAACACTTGTCAGACATGTTAGGCAAGTGCACGTGCTCTGAACATGTTTAAGATTGTACATATAATGCGTGTGTCCGCTATTTATTACAAAGAACGGTGCATCAGATGTTTGCATGTATGTGTATATGTATGGCTGTGTGTGTGCATGAAAATATGTATGGATAACGAGCTTTTGCAAGTTATGTTTATATTTGATTCTTCACTTAATGAATGAGTCTAAATTGAGCTGTTTCTGATTTGCTCCGGGCTATACACCTTGTTTAAGTGATGAATTACTTTAGTTACAAAATTTGGAATGTTTTTTCCGACCATGCATGTATCCTTTTCGTTTGATGCTGTTACTTTTGGGTGTAGAAAATAGTATTTATGAATGCATACATGCATGTATATATACGTATGAATGTTTGTGTGCATGCAACGTATGCATGCATAATGAACTTGAATATTATGTTTCTATCTACCTCCGTATTTAATGATTGAGCTTGACAGGAGCTGTTTCTGGTTTGCTATGGGCCATATATCTTATTAAGTGATGAATTATTTCGTTTCTAAATTTGGAATGCTTTTTTCCAACTATGCATGTCCCTTTTTTCTTTGTTGATTATTCTAGTTCATTTGGCGCAGAAAATGGTAAATGGTGGGAGGGTTAGCAACTGGTCTTGCATCAATTTTGTCCGGAATATACAAGAAAATGTTACTCATAAATTCTGCAAAGAGCTAGCTGAGATGTGCCATACGTCTGGAATGGTATTTATTAGTTATTAATTCTTGTAGGAGATTTCTTTCTTTAATCTTCTTATGATTTCTCAAATTAGTTGTGTATATTTTTTATAATATTGCAGGAATTTGCTTCCGAACCTGTAATTCCTCCATCGTTTGCACGGCCTGATCAAGTTGAAAGAGCATTGAAATCACACCATCATGATGCAATGACTATACTGCATAAGCAGCACAAGGAGCTTGATTTACTTATTGTGATATTGCCTGACAATAATGGTTCTCTCTATGGTAAGTAAATCTATCTCTTCTTGCTTTTAGTGTTGCCCTTTGTGTACATCTTGATTTATGATTGTTTACTTCCTGCAGGGGATTTGAAGCGTATATGTGAGACTGAGCTTGGGTTAGTTTCACAATGTTGTTTAGCTAGGCATGTATATAAGCTGAACAAACAGTACCTAGCCAATGTTGCTCTGAAGATAAATGTGAAGGTCTGCAGGTTTAATAATTTAGAGCTTTGTATGTCATGCCTTTTTAATTGTAACTTGAGTAAAATCAATTTTGATTTGTAGGTTGGAGGCCGAAATACTGTGCTTGTGGATGCTATATCTAGACGAATACCTTTGGTCAGTGACAGGCCTACTATCATATTTGGCGCTGATGTGACACATCCTCACCCTGGGGAAGACTCTAGCCCATCAATTGCTGCTGTGAGTTTGTCTATGATTTTAAAACTGCTAGCCGGGACTTGTGACTCCTAGTTTTACCTAACAATTTTTGTGTCATCTTTATTATATTGCAGGTTGTGGCTTCTCAAGACTGGCCCGAGATAACCAAATATGCAGGGTTGGTTTGTGCTCAGGCTCATCGCCAGGAACTTATTCAGGACTTGTTTAAAATTGAACAGGATCCAAGGCGTGGTAATATCCCTGGCGGCATGATTAGGTGCGTTTTTCTTCTAATGACTTCCTTCTTGCTTTTGATACCCTTGTCACTGAATGTTGTATATTGGCATACATTTTCAGGGAACTACTTATTTCGTTTAAAAGGGCAACAGGAGACAAGCCTCAAAGGATAATTTTTTACAGGTCCTGTGAATCAGAATTTTACCTCTACATGCTTGCCGATTTTGTGTTTCATCCAATCATTTGAATCTTTTCGCTTCTTTCATCGCAGAGATGGTGTGAGCGAGGGACAATTTTATCAGGTTCTCTTGTACGAACTTGATGCGATAAGAAAGGTACATGCTTTCATAGTTCTATACATACTGAACGGGCTTCCAGCGGCTTACAATGCCTTCACCACAGCTATTCGAGCATCTCTTCATCCAATCTCACTCGATGACCTCTACTCTTTGTTATGCAGCGAGGAAATCAACATACAACATCGCCTGCTCAAAGACAATCCCAGCTCGGACACTCTTGCCATGTTCTCTAACCGCAACGCCTCTGTTCAATGGAAAACTACCAAGAACCGGGGCAAGAACTATGCTCCTCGCAGCCAACAACAGCCCGATCATTCCTCATCTGCCAAGAACACTTCTGCGAGACCAAACTGCCAAATATGTGGAAAAACAGGGCATACGGCTCTCAATTGTTGGCATCGGTGCAACCTTAACTATGCACCTCCATCCAATCCCAAAGCCCTTACGGTGCAACAACAATTCTCCTCAACAAATGACTGGATCTTGGACAGCGGCGCCTCGTCGCACCTAACAGCAGACGTTTCCAATCTTCAACAGCCAACTCCATATCAGGGGAATGACACCGTCTCTCTCGCCAACGGACAGCATTTGCCAATCCACAACTCGGGACAAGGAATTTTACCCTTGCCCGAGTCGAATCGTAAGCTCAATTTAAACAATATTTTACATGTTCCAAAACTCTCTCACAATCTCTTGTCTGTCTCTCAGTTGGCCTCAGATAACGATATTTCAATTTGCTTTCAAGCTAACGATTTCTTTATAAAGGATCGACAACGCAACTCCACCCTTCTACACGGTCAGAAGCACAATGGTCTCTACCGTCTCAAGGCTCGTACAGCACCTGACCGGACTGCTCTCACGGCAACCGCGTCCACCTCCACCCCGTGGCACTCAAGACTCGGGCATCCTTCGGACTCTGTTTTTACAGAATTAGCAAAACTTGTAACATACATTCATAAAGATAGCTCCTACTCTCCTCCGTGTATCTCTTGTCAAATTTCTAAATGCCACAAATTACCGTTTTCCCGTAGCCTTTCCTCAAGCACGAAACCATTTCAACTCGTGCACTCTGATGTTTGGGGGCTGGCCCCGATTACTTCAATGAACGGATCTCGTTTTTACATAACTTTCATCGATGATTTTTCACGATTTTGTTGGTTATATATTTTGAATTCTAAAGACGAAGCACTAATCAAATTTCAACAGTTTTACAAATTAATCAAAACCACGTTCAATACTGCGGTTAACACCCTTCGGACAGACGGCGGCGGTGAATTCACAAGTCACTCCTTCCGCAAATTTCTCTCCCACAAAGGCATTCAACACCACATCACTTGTCCGCACACGCCAGAACAAAACGGCGTCGCAGAAAGGAAGAATAGGCGTCTTCTTGAAATAACCCGGGCACTACTGCATGCCTCCGGTCTTCCTAACAACTTCTGGGCCGAAGCCGTCTCCACGGCCAACTATCTTATCAACAGACTACCAAGCTCGGCCATCACCAACGTCACCCCCTACTACCGTCTCTACGGAACTCAAGCCAACTACGACCATCTTCGTACATTTGGCTGCCTCTGTTTTCCTTGGACACGCCCATATGCCCCAAACAAACTTGCACCAAGATCATCGATCTGTGTCTTCCTCGGGTATTCGTCACAACACAAGGGGTATCGATGTCTTGACATCAATACCAAGTGCATTTATATCTCTCGCCATGTGACGTTCCACGAAGACCAATTTCCGTATAAACAGCTACTCCATGATACTCCAGCTACCAACAGCAACCCCTATACCACTCCTCTCACACTACTTCCTACATCAACGTTCAGGATTCAGCCACAAGATCATATCAAATATAGCTCTCCTCCAGTATCTACGCCATCACCGAATACCTTGGAGGTACCTCCCGAACCAGTCTTGCCGCCCGACAGTCGACCTCTGCCAATTCACCCAATGCAGACAAGACTTCGATCAGGTATCACAAAACCAAAACAGATTTTCGACCTCTCTGCTACAATCACATCAGAACACTCTCCAACAATCCGGTGTTTCACGCATGCACCAAACACATTGAGATCGACTACCATTTCATCAGTGGGCATATTCAACAAGGCGACATTCATATCGCTCACATCAGCTCGACGGATCAAATCGCCGACATCCTCACCAAGTCACTTCCACTCAAACAGTTTCAAACCCTTCGTCACAAATTGACCATTCGATCACCGAATGATCAATTTGAGGGGGACTCTTAAGGAGTTTGAACTGACCGTTATGTTTACCGTTATTTTACTTCTTCTAGAAGCTGCATCTTCTTGTATCTATTAGCTCTATTTAAACACTTGTAAATCTCCCGCTTAGTTAATGAAATTTATTCTCTGTTCTCCAAACACAATCCGTCTCCTTCTCTCTTCATCCCGTCTGCTCTCTCCTCCCTGAACGGGATTTCATATGCATCCGGTCGGAGGACGTAATAATTGTTCATCAAGGCGAGTCATTTGAGTGAGTCTTATCATGCAAAAATGTTCAGAATTTAGAATCGAGACCATCGAAAGCCATTGGTCGGGTCTTTGATGTCTTTCTGATATGTTTTGTGCATATGGTCACTTTAAAGTAGGGAAGGCTGCTCACAAGTTCGCAATCAAAAAAATCTCAATATCAAAAGCTCTTCTTCAGATGAGAGCTGCAATCAAAACCCTAGTTCGCTTAAGTCTTAATGATCCATACTTGGAGTGATAAGTCATCAGTAAAGAAAGAGAGAAGGCATGAAGATGTTTGACATGCATCGGCTATGTTAGAATGCGAATGGGCTCGATCAAATCATTTTGATGATTGATATAATGCATCGGCGCAAAATTTTATGATAGTCAAAATTGTACATATGAAAAATTGATGCATCTTTAATGGCCACGATGCAACTCGCGGAATTCAATTTGGAGATCAATGAATAAACAAAGTGGAGAGTGACTCAATTTAATGTTACATGTACCCATGCAAAGCATGAATGATAGATTTTTTAATATAAAAATTTAAATTTTTATACTAGAAAGTTGTTTTAAGAAGTAACAAAAAAACGAGTTTGGAACAACTATTTTATCGTTCTAAAGCAACTTTTTAGTACAAATTTTATTGAACAAAAATATTTTTTTACTAGAAAGCCGTAAGAAACCTGTCCCAAATCAAGCCTAAGGCTTCGTGCTTTGCTTTTAGACCGCATGCAATTACAACATTTTGTTTGACTACTATTTTTTTTTTGTTGCTTAAAAAAAAAATCTACTAAAAAGCTCCTTTCTACTTTAGTTTTAAAAAATTATTTTCTCTATAGCACATTTACGAAATAATAAAAAATCTATCTCAAATAATTTCTAAAATTTTGGTTAGAACAATTTTTTTATTATTATACTTTTTAAATAAAAATCATAATTTATATTTTATCATTAATTTTTTATTACTTTCAATTATTTTTTTTACAAAACTACCTTCTATAATAAAATTTTTTACAAACATATGGCCGCCAATGGATAATAAATTGATGACTTTCATGGTCGCCAATGACAGCCGATGTTGAGTGAAGGCTGACAAGACCATTTAAATGGGAAGACAAAATGGTCTCTGTTGCAAGCAAAAAAAAAAACCATTTAAATGGGAAAAAAAAATGTCTCTTTTTTAAAAAAAAAAAAAAAAAAAATTCTTAGTTTGCAAGGATTTGAACAGGCGGATTGAGTAGTGGCTCGCGATGAAAAAATTCCGTTCTGCATGATTCGCATTGGATGCCGTCAACTGCACAAAGAAAGATTAAAAAAAAAAAAGAACTGTCGGTTTAGCTTGCATGGAATTAAACTAGCAAAGATTGGAGATGCTACCCAAAACGCAAACGCAAACGCTAACGCTGATGCAAAAGACTTTATCGTAGGCTTAGCCTGTAAGGAATTAGACTGAGCAGTGCTCACCAAGAAACTGTCCAGAATCTACTGATCTCTGAAGTCTCCCTTTCATAAAGTCTTGGCGTCTTCTCGTGAAGAGCTGAGCGAAGTAGAGAGAGAGAGAGAGAGTTAGAGGAGAGAGAAGTAGTTTCAAGGGGAAAACAGCCAGTTTCGGCAACAGCAGTGGATTTGTGAGTTAGGTGAAAGAATTTGGTCATCTTCCTTCTTGTTCTACAACGTAGCGGGTTTCTGCTATGATCATCTTTTTAATCCGTTTGTTCGCATGTGATTTCTACCCATCTTTCAATTTCATCACCTCAATTTGAAAGGATTTCTGTTGCTGTACTCTCTTCTGTCCGATTATTGGTTTTCAGTGCTTTTAGCAATCATTTCTTCTCCTTTCCCCGATCATGGTTTTTCTTTTTCTTTTTCCGTTTAATTTGATTCTGTAAGGATGTAGATCAATGTGTTGTAACATATGTGCTTCAATTAAGCTGGCTATGTTCTTGCTTTGTTTAGCATAATTTGTCGTTTTCAAACTGTTTAATGCATCGTTTGTTACTATATTTGTATTTATTGATTGGAATTTATCGATTATGGTAATTTAGGGAGTATCAGGCTCTATTTGGGAAAGCTTCTTCACTGCTGCTGCACGTATGTTAAGTTGTTATTTTCTTGCTATTTTTTGCAATTTTTTATGATGAGAAGGCAAGAAGCTATAAAAAAAGCAGTTCTGTAGTGTTTTTCTAACAAAATATTTGTAATTTCAATAACAGCTTTAAATATACGGCAATTGCCCCAATTGGATCGCACGCATGCTCATGTGGCTGCTGCAGCAAATGCTAATGATTATGAACGCTTGTTTCATTTATGATTTGTTGTCTCGGAGTGGAGCTTTAATTGCTAATCTGTATTTCATGATGCCAGTCATGTTATCATAACTTCCTCATCTTAGATTCAGTTGATTTTACTTTGAAAACGTGGAGATTCTTAATCTGAAAACTCGATTCGTTTTGTGGTTTTAGTATTTAGCTTGTTAAGATGGTGAGAAAGAGAAGAACCGCTCTTCCTGGCTATGCTGATGGTGGTGGTGAGGGCTCAGGATCTCAAAACCCTGGTGGTGGTAGAAGAGATGGAGCTCAAACTTCTACGGTTTCACAGCAACAGGGTGGAACTCATCACTCTCCAGCTCCACAGGAATTGGGTGGAGCTCAAAACTCTCAAGCACCAGGAGGAGCTGGAAGGGCATGTGGGCCTGTCAATCCTCAACAATTAGGGGGACGCAGTGCTGGTTATCACCAGAGCGGTGGCGGACAGCCCTCTCGCGGGAGTATGGTCCAGCAGCAAGCTCCCCGGATGGGGTTCCAACATCCTGGTGGGCAACAGGGTAGTGGTGAATCTCAGCAGCATCACGCTGGCCGCAGAGTTGGTGCATATGCATCAGCTGGGCAAGGAATTTGCCCATCTGTAGCCGAATCATCTAAGCTGCAGCGGCGTCCCGAACTGCACCAAGCAACACAAACTCCACACCAAGCGGCACCTGCTCCGACAAGCTCATCAAGTCCTGATGTGGCTCTGATGGAGGGTTTTCAGGACCTTTCTCTTCAGGCTGAATCCTCAGCTAGTCGGGCTATGGTTCCAGTTTCAAGCAAATCAATGAGATTCCCATTGCGCCCAGGCAAAGGCAGTTATGGGACCAAGTGTCTGGTTAAGGCAAACCATTTCCTTGTGGAGCTTCCTAAGAAGGATCTTCATCACTATGATGTGTGTTCTTTCTCCATTTGATTTTAAATTTTGGAACTTATGATCTCACTTCTGCTGTGAATCTTACTTTGAGAAGTTCTTTCCTTTTGAAATACCGATCATTGTTACTGCTTTTATTTATATAGGTTTCCATTAAACCTGAAGTTACTTCACGTAGTATAAATCGAGCTGTGATTGAAGAGCTTGTAAGGGTGTTTAAAGACTCCGATTTGGACGGCCGCCTTCCAGCATATGATGGTAAAAAGAGCCTTTATACGGCAGGAGCTCTTCCATTTACTTCTAATAAATTTCGAGTTACTCTAGTTGATGAAGATGATGGAGCTGGTACTGAAAGGTAATTAATGCGTTATGACCTAAATTTTGTGGTTCTGGTTTTGCATTTTGTAACTTGTGCTGATATTTTACTATGTCTTTGATTAAGACGGCAAAGGAATTTCCAAGTTGTTATCAAACTAGTTGCTCGTGCTGATCTTCATCATCTAGAAATGTTTCTGGCTGGAAAACAAGCAGATGCTCCTCAGGAAGCTATTCAAATTCTTGATATTGTGCTGCGTCAGTTGCCCACTGCTATGTAATTATCTTTTGTTCAAGTCGCATTTATTCTTTAATTTGCCACGCCATTGTAGTATATTTTTAAAAGATTATTGTACTGTCGAATGACAGGTATTCTTCTGTTGGTCGATCTTTCTACTCTCCAAATTTTGGTCTGAGAAAACCACTTGGTGAAGGCTTAGAAAGCTGGCGTGGATTTTATCAAAGCATCAGGCCGACACAGATGGGCTTGTCACTGAATATTGGTATTGTCAGATGTCCTGTGGTTCTTTGAATGAGTTGCTTTGTATCATTGTATGGTTCATTTATATGAAGTTGCGAATTAAGGAACATGCAGTTTGAGGTGTTGTGTAGTAGTGCTCGCCTTCTGTTAAGGGAGATTTGCAATTCTTAATGGACATAGATTTTATGTTATCTTTAGCTCCTTGATTTGTTTTATTAGTTTTTTGTCTCCATAAGATGAATTTTTCCTTACTGCGATTGTATAAACGTCTGATAAAATGTAGCTTGTTTAACTTCTTTTAAGGGATATTTCTTCTTTTAAATGATTTAAGTGCATATTGCATGTAGATTGTTCTATCAGGGGTTATTGATTTTGGTTTGGTTCTGCTTTTTAAGACCATCTGAACTTTGATTGTAGATTGTTACATAATTTCTGAACTAAAATTTATTTCATGTTTGACCGTTATCCCTCTCTTATACAGATATGTCATTTGCTGCATTCATTGAACCATTGCCAGTCGTCGACTTTGTAAATCAGTTTCTGAATAGGGATGTTAGGGATGTTCCATCAAGACCATTATTGGACTCAGATCGTCTAAAGGTGAGTCACCAGAGTTTCTTGAAGAATTTGAGCTTTATTCTAGTGGGGTATTTCAATGTTTTTTCGTCTTCAAATTTGCTTGTTTTGGGTAGATTCTTACAATAGATGGATGTAGCAATTTATGTGTTCACTTGGTAATGCTTTCAGGTGCCTACTTTAGGTTTTTTTTTTTTGGAACAATAGATATACTTCTAAGCCAAGCTTTTGATTTAACCTGTTTAACCATTGCGAGCAGCAATAAGCAGCAGCATCTTTATATTATTCTTTATGTGGATACTTTCTTTCTGTTCTCTTTCTGCTGCTTTTTTTGGCTAATCCTTGTTGAGAAATTAATATTTCAACATTCTACACGGATTTACTCTACTAAAAATTCATGGAAACGTTTGGTTTCTCATTCAGATCAAGAAGGCTCTAAGAGGTGTGAAGATTGAGGTTACACATAGGGGTCATATGCGCAGAAAGTTTATCATATCTGGTTTATCATCACTGCCAGCTACAGAGTTGACGTATGCTTCTTTTTAAATATATTCTTCATTTTTTCTTTGTTGTTTATTTTTATGCTGTTATTATTAATTTTCATTTTATTTTATTTTATTTTGTTTTGTGATAGTTTTTCTGTTGACGAGAGTGGTACAATGAAGTCAGTAGTGGCATATTTTCAAGAGACTTACGGGCTCACCATCCGACGTGCCAATTGGCCTTGCCTGCAAGTTGGCAATCAAAAAAAGCTAAACTATTTACCTATGGAGGTGTGGTCTTTTGTTTGCCTTTATGGGTTTTGTTTTTATTATTTTTTAATTCCTTGGACCCCATGATTTCTTAATGCAGAGCATCAAATATTAGATTTTTTGTTATAGGTATATTTTATCTTTTTTTTCAGTTAACATATAATATTACAAACTTCTATACTGTTTAGATAATTTTAGTATTAGAGGAGAGTAGTAACTGGTACACAAGGATATGTTCATTCTGAGAAGAAGAATGATAAATCAGGGAATATACAATACAGTTTTAGTTATATGTGTTTCTTTTAATTTCCATTTCTCTGTCTTCCTTCGTGCTGTTTGAATTACTCTTAGCTGCCATGCGAAATTTGTATTAGACAACCGGGAACGATAGTGGAAGGGAACAACCAAGTAGCTCTTGACGGATATCTGAGTTTGGATACGGGGGTGCAAGGGGCATTGCACGACAATCGGATGAAATGCAACTCAATTTCCACTTTAGAAGCCATTCATTTCGACCACATTTTAGCCAGCATCCGACATATGGAGGCAAAATTGAGTCACCAGTTGCAAAATCGAGCCCATTTGAACCCCAATCAGGAACTTGTAGCGATGCAGCCTCTTAAACCCAAATTGCCGTGGAGATTCAGTTAGTGTCTGGGAAATCTGAAATGAGCTCAATCTGAAATCTGATATCTGTTCTGTTCCGGATCCGATGAATTCTGTTCTGGTGCTATAAGCACATCTGTTCTGGTGCCGTGAGCACAAAGGGAGGCATAAGGGGCCAGAATCCGAGAGATTCTGTCAGTGTCTGGGAAGGGAGGCATAAGGGGCCGGAATCCGTAGAGATTCCGTCAGTGTCAGGGCATTTAGCTATGAATTAAATTATCTGATATCTGATTTGATATGATTCTGATTTCCGTATCTGTCTGTAAGCACATCTGATTCTGATTTCTGTACGATATGAATTGATCTGATCTGTATGATATGATTTCTGTATGATTCTGATACGATTATGTTTTGTTCCGATATGATCTGAATTTCTGATTTCTATACAATTCCGTTTCTGATTTGATATGTCTGATCTGTTCTGTTTCTGATTTGATACGACTTCTGTTTCCGTACAGTTATGTTTGATTTAATATTTGTTCAGTTCTGTTTGATTTGATATGTCCGTGTCTGTTCTGATTTGATCCGTTCCGTTCTGATCTGTCCGATTTGATATCTGTCCGATTCTGTTCTGATTTCTGTACGGATTTGTCTGATGTGTTGGTTTTGAGATTCTGAGAATTTTGATTGGAGGTTTGTTGCTTTGCTGAGCTGTTGAGCTCACTCTTGTTTTCTAGTGGTTTTCAGGTTCTGGGAAAGGGAAGGAGGTCCAGGAATAGATTTCAGAGTCTGATCAGTATAGGTATTGTTTTGTACCTTTTAATTTTTGTATAGTCATGGCTTTTCTGCTGTCTTTTCTTTCTGTTTGAGCCATGTACTGTATTTGTAGATGATTGTTTTGAGGAAAATAAAAGATAGATGTTTTGTTCCGCTGTGTTTGATGATTCATAGTAGTTCTGTATCTGTGTGTCTGTTTGAGTTAAATTATTTGGAAGATTCAGTTCCGAACCAAATTCCATAACCAGATCCTGGTCAGTCAGTCTGTTCGTTCCGATCGCGACCCGGTGCGAGCGGGATCCGTCCCGGATCGGGTCGGGTCGTGACATAAAATCTGTGAGAATTCTCAGAGTTTTGAGCTTAGGAAATAGGGAGAACGGATGAGGAAATAAGGCTGTAGAATTTTGGTGAATCTCGTGGTCAGCTGTGGGGAAATTAACAGCAAATCGAGGTCTTCCACAGTGCTGGACAGCAGGGTATCTTTGCTGGCATACGTGGACAGCAAGCTGTATGGCTTAGGAAATCCAAACAGTAGCTATAAGAGAGCGTTGGACAGCAGTATGAGGGTTCTGGCAGCAAACTACACTGACTTTCCTTTGCTGGAATCTCCAGGACAGCAGCAATTTTGAAGCTTCAAGTTGCTGGGAAGCAAATAATCATTGTTGGAAATCTCTGGCTGCAGTATTAGTAGGTAGAAAGTTGACAACTAGGGGGCAGCGGGTAAGAGAGAGGTTGACGGTGGAGCAAAATAGGTTTAGGGAGGTTAATTGAAATCTGAAATTAAATGCATATTTCAATTAATATGGGATTTAGGAAAAGGAGGGGATTTCTTCCGTTAATGAGGTGAGCTGTCCACGGGAATAAATTAAGGCTTTTGATGTTGTAAACTTCGGTTCCTGAGATTGGGTAATATGATTGATTTGTTTCCAAACAGGATTTTTCCTTTTGGAATTAATCAAAATGAGGGGATTTCGGCTCAGCAAGAGGAGGGAGCAAGTATGACAAACTTTAATTCAGAAAATCTGTAATGAGGTTTACGGGATTATGGGGGAGAAATTAGGGAATTTATTCCTAATTTCTCTCAGTAGATTTTGGAAAGTGTGATAAGGCTTGGGTGTAGAGAATTCCGGTTGGCAAGAGGGAGGAATTATTTCCCAAAGAGGCTTAGTATGAAATTAGGAAATAAATTCCATTTATTCATACAGGGGCCGGTGGCTTAGGAGAATAAGGGGAGCATTGAATGAGAGTATTTAAGGCTTCTTAAATTTGAATTTAAAATTCAAATGAATTTAGAACTCAAATGAATTTAAATTAAGAAGGACTTAATGGAATTTGCTTAATGTTAGGGAATTAAGGCAAGAACCAATTAAATCCCTTTTGAATTTGAAATTCAAATAGGATTTACAAATGGAAACTTCTCAAAAATAGCTTTCATAAATTAGGAAAAATTTCGAATTTCAAAATACATGATTTCGAATTTCAAAATACATGATTTTGAATTTGAAATCAGCCCAAAATATGAACACCCAAAGTAGGCAAGAATTTCAATGGGGATGATGTGGTGGATGGTGGACGGCGGCTAAAGATTGGGCCGGCGGTATGAGGGCTCGGTATGGAGCTTGGATCGTGAAGTTGAGGGAGGAGGAAGAAGATGACGTGAAGGTGGATGTAGGAAGATGATAAATATGACAACGGGGAGCAATACGAAAGAACCACATAAAAAATAAAGATAAAACGAAAGATAGAAACAAACGATAGAAAATAAAATGATAGAAACCACAAGCCCTAGACTCTTTCGAAGACTGACGGGTGATTCGTTTGCCCTTCTCCAAGGGACATCAATTCACAAGCCCGGACCCATCCTGCAGCTGGTGACAACTTCGATTCCTTTCCATAGGAATCTCACTCTCGTCCTCTCTCAAGAAGAACACAAGTGTGGAACACAAAATTTTCATATCAAATTAACCATCCCCATTACAATAGCTTAAGGCCCTATATATAGGCCACAACATGAGAAAATTAAAAATTACAAAAATGCCCCTTGGGCCATAACACTCAAATAAACTAACCTAGGGGTAGAACAGGAAATAACATAAAATAATAGCTAAAATCATAAAATAAATCATAAATGACAATGTAAATTAGAGTCGTCGATTTACGACACCTCCTGTGATAGATGCCAAACTTCGTGCCGATGTCCGCATCAGAGATGCCATATTTTGAATTTGTTGCACAATTAATCAAAAAGTATGTGATTTACTGATTGATAATGGCTATACAAAAAATATCGTATCAAGGTAACTCGTCCAAGCTTAACAACACAAAATCCTTATCCATATATAATCAATTGGGTATAAAAGGTATGGAAAATCAAGTATCAGAAATATGCGAAATTACTTTTTTTGTTGGAAAACACTATTAATTTTTTTGTGATGTCCTTAACATGTAAGTTTGTCAGATCATTTTGGGATGATCATGGCGATATAACACTGGAGTTCTTTATGATTGTCGGTTGAGCATCTACTCATTTGATTGGAATGGAAAGATACTATGGTTACTTTCAAAATTCACACGAAATGGTTGTTAAACAGACAAAGGGCAAACCCACAATGTTTATAGGTTCGGGTCTTGCACTATTACATTCTTGGTGAGATTCTTCTTCATTGCTTGCCTTCATAATAATGGAGTAGAACGTAGAATTTACGGTTCCATAGCTATCGAAACCAGTCGAGGACCTTCTCAAGCAATTTGAAGACATTGGCATTATTAAACTATTATCACAAATTCTACTGCTACTGTTTTACAACATCAAATCAATTTTATGTCAAGTGCTTCCTTTCCCAATCTTCCACATTATCAAATGATCCTAAATGAAGACAATATATTGCAAGATTTGGTGGATGAATTTTTAAATAAAATGCTCATTCAACCTAGCCTAAGTCCATGTGCTGGCCCTGCTTTACTCATACACAAAAAGGATGGAAGTTGGCACATATGCATTGTTAACAAATCCATTAACAAAATCACAATCAAATGCCGCTTTTTGGTTCCATGAGATGAATATTTGTTGGATAAATTGTGGCCGGTTCATCTATTTTCTCAAAACTAAATTTAATAGTGGATATCACTAAATTCGCATTAGACTCAGTGATAAATGGAAGACTTCATTCAAAATTAATCAAGTTTTTTTTAGTGAAAGGTGATGCCATTAACATTATACTCCATTATGTGTTCCTGATTTGATATGGCAAGACTTGAGCCTAGACTTTGTTTTGGGACTTCCACGGAGAAAACGAGGAGTTGATTCCATTATGGTTGTGGTCGGCCAACTCTCAAAATGGCTCACTTCGTTGTCTACAAAAGGACTTTAGATGCACTCAACATTATGCACCTATTCTTTCATGATATAGTTCGCTTCCATGGCTTGCATTGCAGCCTCACTTTAGGCCACAATGTCAAACTTATTAATTATTTTGGGAGCTAATTGTGGAAATTAATGGTTTCAAACTGAACTTAAATTAAGTTAATCCTACGAGGGTTTGTTGGCTGAATCAAAGTTGTAAATCATACTCTCGGCAATGTGCTTCGATGTCTTATTCAAGGTTATCCAAAACAGTGGGATGAAACCCTCGGAGAAGCATAATTTGTATATAACTCGATGCTCGACCAATCAATAGGAAGATGTTCGTTCATATTGTCTACATGGAGATGCCCAATCACTTAATTGATATTACAATCCTTCCCAAATGCAAAAGCAAGGTTGCTGAGGAGATGATCGAGCAGTACCATACAATGCTCGATGAAGTTCAGACCAAATTAATTGCATCCAACAAACACTATGAGCAAATTGGTGACTCACATAAATGATGAGAATTCTTTCATCCGAGATACCTTGCTATTGTCTGGATTCTCAAGGAATGTTTTCCCTCGGGAATTTATTCTAAATTGAGCCCATGAAAGTTTGGTTCAATTTCGATCGTCAAACTTATCAATGATATTGCTTATATAGTCGATCTATGCTTATATCGTCGATCTATCTCCTTGTATTCATGCACGGCTTTCTTTCAATGTTTATGAGATTTATACTTACTATCTCCCTGATAATGCTACCACAAAGATCATCTCACCTTATGTGAGCTATTATGAAGCCGGGGCGAGTTGAGGCGGAGCATCCTAAGGGAGAGGAACACTCTACTGCCACTACTACATATTTGTTTTGCTCCACTACTCTTGTTTTCAAGTTTATTCCTTTTTTTTTTTTCATTTTACACGGAATATTACAAACTTTTATATTGTGCTGATAATTTTAGTATTAGCGGATATATATATACACACACACACTACAGAAAATTCAGATATAATTGGCGGTTATTAAAGCTTTCCGGCAGTTTTGTAATAAACCGACGGCTGCGTAGGAAACAGTTTCCGGCGGTTTTATTAACCAGCGGCTTTTCGACGGTCGTAAGGCCGGTGACCGCCCGTTATTTACCGGCGGCATACCGGCTGTCAAAATCGCCGGTAATACCGGCGGCCAAACCGCCGGGTCATCGTCGGTTAAACACCGACGACCGCCGGTAAATCACCGGTGGCTTACCGGCGGTCAGAACGGAAGGAATTACCGGCGGCTGAACCGTCGGTAAGAAATAATACCGGTAGACTAACCGACGGTTATTTGACCGCCGCTAATTCCAGCGGCGGTTAATTAAATAACCGCCGGTTCATACCGCTAGAAATTCATGAATTTCTTGTAGTGATATATATATATACATATATAGTTTCAGTTATCTATGTTTTTTTTTTCTCTATTTTCTTTGCTACTGTTAGTATTTTCTCATAGCTAGCATGCCAAAAAGGAAGCCTATTGTTGGATAGAATCTATTAGGGATTCCTAAGAACGGTTCTGTAACGAATGGACCTTACAAAAGAAGTGGTAGATATGATCTCCTAAAATATTTGGGAGAAGAGGGCCATTTCAAAAGTCTTGCTCTTTAAATGTTGTAGTTACTAGAAAGTTTTTGGGAGGGCTCTATCATGCATGACCTCCAAGAATCTAAATTATAAGCGGGCTCTATTTATCTGAATATTTTGAGAGGGAACTCCAATTTGGAGTCCCTGAAAACCACCAATTGCTAACAGCCTCCTCTCCAGACATTATAGTTTTGGAAACTTAATTTTGCTTATTTTCTCAGGTTTGCAAGATTGTAGAAGGACAAAGATATTCGAATAGGTTGAATGTAAGACAAATAAGTGCTCTTCTAAAGGTTGCTTGCCAGCGTCCAATTGATCGAGAGCGTGATATTATCCAGGTTTAATACTTTCTTTTCATAAAATTAGTTTTACTAAAGTACTTTCCTTTTCTTTTGGCTTTACTACAACTGTTGGTTTTGCACAAAACGTTTTATTTATTTATTTTTAATGGAAACCATACGTTACTTCGGCAGACTGTTAATCTCAATGCATATGATGAGGATGCATATGCCAAGGAGTTTGGAATTAAAATCAGTAAAAATCTTGCTTTAGTTGAAGCACGCATTCTGCCTCCCCCTACGGTATGTAAAATTGCTCAATTTTCTCTTTATAAAATTCTTTGACTTGTTTCTTTATCGGTCTTTAAAACTTTCTGCCGTCACTGTTGCAGCTGAAATACCACGAAACTGGCCAGGAGGAGAATTGTTTGCCACGGGTTGGCCAGTGGAATATGAGGGATAAGGTGCTTATGTGAAACTACTAGCAGAATGCATGATATACATCTTAGTTTAACTTTTGGTTATTATGTTATGCATTATAAGAGGTTACAATGATTAAAAACCAAGAATGCTATCTTTAGGAGTTTATAACATCAGTTTGCTTTTTCTAGATTCGAAAAACCAAAATGTAGTACATGTTATTTGCTTATGTACCTTGTTATTTTTTAATTTTAGAAAGACCACATCAAGAGATTTATGATGTCATATTTTCTTTAACAATACTATACCAAAATACCATCAATTATTAGCCTTATCCTAATTTCCGGGATTGATGTTGCTAATTTACATTCTCCACTAATACATTTTCAATTAAGTGTGCTATCTGTGGTGCTAAATTTATTTGCAAAATACTTCACTCAAACATTTTCTTTCCTAATATTTTTTTCTTTGATTTAATTTTACCTATTTATATTAGTAATGCGTGTACAATTCATTTACCATCTCCAAATCATTTTAAGTGAAGGCTCTATTTTAGTATTTTGTGATTTTTTTTGTGTTCTTTTGTGTTTTAAAGACAATAACCCCCCCGCCCAACATTTCATTGGAAGGGTTTAGAAGTGTTTCTAAGTTAATTTTTTAAAAGACATATTAGATTTAAGATTGGAAGAATTTTGGAGATTTTGTCCCCCCCGACATCTCATTGGAAGGGTTTAGAAGTATTTCTAAGTTAATTTTTTAAAAGACATTAGATTTAAGATTGGAAGAATTTTGGAGATTTTGTCATTATTTTTCAAGGATTTTATGATCTTATTTAAGTTTTTCATAGTCGCAAGCTTTATGGTTTATTACCTCTTCTAGTGATAGGAGGGAACTTTCAATTAAGGCTTGTAGTAAGATAAACACCAAGTGCTTGGTATATGGTAGCAATAAATTGATTTTGGATTATATATTGACAACCATGAATTTAAAGAAGATGGTGGGTGAAATGATGATAAACCAAATCAAGATCTCATAGTTACATCATCCCAAGTTGTCATAGTCCATAGTCTACTTAGTCATAAGAGATAGTCGACCTGATATGATCCTTATTGATCTCCACGGGTTGCGATATCCAAAGGTATCTTATAAACCCATAATAGATGTTTGTCTAAGAGGATAAATTCAAATCGATTTGAGAGAAAGAGAGAGGAGGGATTGCTGGTTTGGGTATGGATAGCATGGTGATGTAAACCTAGAGCTCAATTCAATTTGGTCTTTATCGCAGGTTGTTAATTTCACATTCAAAGCCGAAATTCAGTTAGCCAGAGGTTACAAATAGCAGGCAAACTGGCAATCATATATTGATCATAACATTGAAGTCTCCAAATCTACCAATAACCCTGGAAAAGCTCCCGTACCTCCACAAATTCCACACACTCCATCCCAATTGCCTCAGCCCAATGTGACTGTTAGTGCATATGTCAACTCAAGAACGTAGCAATATTTTCTACAGTGCCGATCGGCCTGGATGATTTCCAATCGTCCTGGACGATCCTGAGAGGAAAAAACCAAATCAGAGAGGAACAGTAAGGGAACGAGGTCTCACACCCCTATGCAAGGCCCACCACCATTAAGTGCTTTCGGTAAGGATTTCTTTTTCAATCCGGACACAAATCTAATGAATGTCCAAACAGACAACAACTGCAACTGGCTACCACTGAAGTGGAAGGCACACAGGATGAGGTGGAAGAACAAGAACCTGAGCTCGAGGACATTACGCCTGATATTGGAGATCCACTGATTTGCATCATGGGAAGGATGCTACTGCCCCTCACCAACAACCAAACTCTCGGCGAAATGCTGTGTTTAAAACTAGATGCACTATCAATGGAAAGGTTTGTGATTTACTGATTGTTATCAGTTGTATCGAAAATGTGATTGCACGTAGTGGTGCAAGCTTTACAACTCCAAATGACTAAAAGTCCTCACCCTTACAAAATCAGTTGGGTGAAAAAGGGGATGAATATTCTGGTGTCTGAGATGTGTCAGGTTACATTTTCAATCGGGAAACATTATGTGATGCAGGACTATATGCAAAACAGAAACTTGCACAAAATAATTAAAGAGCAATTTTGGATTTTCGTTATTAGCGATTAAAACAACAAAATAAAACTAATAAGTGGTCACTTTCGTTTAGGCTAAGCTACGCAATAAACTAAGCGAAATCAAAACATTTAAGAAAATCAAAGCGTTGCATGCGAAGTAATTTCTAACATAACCTTGGTCTAACAATGAGATCCAAAAGAAAAGAAGTAACAAATCTACGCTTACTAATGGATGGCGATAATTAAACACAATCTCTTACTTGAACAATCTCTCTACGAAGTAAGTAGAATGTGAAAGTACACGAGTCAATGAAGAAGATCACCTTCTCGGAGAAGCGTCTTGATTCACCATGTACCTTCCGATAGTTTTTTCTCCATAGCCATTGTCAAAACGACTAGTATGTAGTTGGCGGACTTCTCTATGAACCCATCAATATTTGGATTCAAGTCGAAGGACGACAAGTTGAGAAGATCCACGAAAGTTTAATCATCTTACGCAAGGACGGATTCAAGCTCCGGATTGGCCGTTCATCATAAGCAAAAAGAGAGAGAGAGCCCAATAGAGAAAGGAGGGAGGGAGATGGAGGAGGGAAGGGAAGGCCGGCGGCTTGTAGGGGGAAAAGGGTTAGGGTTTGGAATAGAATTGGGTTGAGAGAAAGGAGAAATATTCCAATCTCTAAATCTGATATTATTTTCAGATTTTGAGTGGAATTGAAGGGAAAATAACTTGAATTTGGGTTTCAAATTATATGCAATTAAGAGCCTTAATGGAGCATTCAAGGAGTGGGACCCCTACAAGGGGCCGGCGGCATGGAGAGAGGGGGAGAGGGTTTTTGTGGAGAAATTTAAATCTCCTTCCTATTTGGTTTCTTTAATTTAGGAGAAGAAAAATTCCACCCAAATTAAATTTGAATTATGTCATGAAGGAGATTCAATACTTTCCTAAAATAGCTTTCTAATTTAGGAAACTATTTGAAATTCAAAATTTGAATTTCAAATGATGAAAATAATTTCCCAAATTATTTGAACTCTTTAGGCAAGCATTAAAGTGGCATTGACTCCTCATCCATGGAGACAAACAAGGTGGCCGGCGGTGGGCATGGCTTGGGTGGGGCGGGTGGAAGAGCTAAAGGAGAAAAGGGATTGGTTTGGTGGTTAGGTTGAAGTGAGCTTTGGTAGGAGGGGTTATGGGGTGGTGGTTGGTGGTGGGGATGGCTGGCGGTGGAAGTGGAGGAGAAGGGAAGAAGAAAGGAGGAAAAACCAAGAGCCACCGGTGGTGACTTTTGGGTACGATGGGTGGCCTCTCTTAGGCTCAACCAAACTCTCAAATTTCTTCTCAAGCTCTCACCTAAGCATCAAGAATACAATTGCTGGAAATTTCTTTGATTATCATTCATTAACCTCAAAAGAATAAGATGAAGGCTTTAAATAGCTTCTTACAATGACATAAAACAAAAGGACTCAAATACCCTCAAGGGGTTACATGACTCAATCCCTCAAGCAAGAGTAAAAAGGGAAAATGCTGAAATAAAAATACATCACTAAGGAAACAATAATAAAATCAAAAGTACATCGGATAAATCATGGCCGTTGATCTACGGCCACGTCGATGGTAGACTTTCCAATTGATGTCCCCATCATTATGTCTGTGACGTGTTACGTGACAATATTGATATAGATGTGTGCCATGTCATACTCATAAGACCGAGGCAATTTGATGTCGGTGATCAATGATGGACGATCAAATTCTTATTCATTCAATTGGAAGAGTAGAAAATTCCGACCCCTCCCATACCTGACGGATCAATTGGGAGCATCAAAGCATAAGCAATCTGTAATGCACATGGTCTCTGTAACATCAAAATCTGCTCCAGGATCGTCCGGGCCGATCTGGATCGTCCCGGGACGATTAGTGTAAATTCTGCTCCAGATTCTGTACAGAAGTTACAGGAATGATTTCCTGTAGGTATCGTCCGGGGCCGATGTTGTATCGTCCCGGGACGATCAGTTCATGGAAAAAGTCAGAGAGCAAATCGTCCTGGAAATTAATTATCGTCCTGAGAAATCGTCCCAGGCCGATGTGGATTTGTTCAGATCGTCCAGGACGATCGTGCAATCGGCTGGGCCGATCAGAGTATTTTAAAGCTGAAATCAGTCGTTTTGAAGAGAGAGAAAAATCAGATATTTTATAAAAATCCTTTTGAGGAGAGAGAATCCATATTTTCCGATTGGTTCAGTTTTTACCGCGTAACTTTTGATATGTTTCTGAGGTGCCGAGTGTGCACATTTTGATTATTTTCTGGAGAATTTTGAACGGGTATTTTTGATTCCGCGGTGTTTTCTGTCGACTGCAATTTTTCACGATGTCTAAAAATATTATGGCAGTAGAATAAAAGTCTTGCAATGTCGTTGTGAACATTCTGTGATAATTTGGTAATTTGTGATTTTTATGAAATTTTGTGTAAATTCCGTATACTGTCGTTACGCTGCCGAATTTTCGTATGAATTCTGAAATTGCCCGGATTTGTTCTGCAATGATCTGATATGCTTGTGTGCTATAAAAAGGGAGTTATAAGGGGTCAGGATTCTGTGAAATCCTGTCTGTGTCAGGGAAATTTTGAAATGAGCTCTGAAATCTATTTTTGAATACAAGTTCCGGATCCGATGATAAATTCTGTTCTGGTGCTATAAGCACATCTGTTTTGGTGCCGTGAGCACAAAGGGAGGCATAAGGGGCCAGAATCCGAGAGATTCTGTCAGTGTTTGGGAAGGGAGGCATAAGGGGCCAGTGTCAGGGAATCTGTTCTGACTTGTGATATGTTATGATTTCTGATTTCTGTATGATATAATTTGATTTGATCTGTACGGTTATGATTCTGACACGATTCTGTTCTGTTCTGATATGATCTGCATTTATGATTTCCTTACGATTCTGATCTATAAGATTCTGATCTATTCTGATATACGATTCTGATTCTGTTCTGATGTACGATTCTATCTGTTCTGATTTGATATATGATTTAGTTCTGATTAATCTGTTCTGTTCTGTCTGTTCTGTTCTGATTTGATTTGTTCTATTCTGTTATGTCACTTATGTATTTCGATTTCTGTACGGATTTCTGTCTGATTGTATTTGATGTGGACTCTGAGGATTTTGATTGGAGGTTTGATGTCTTGCTGAGCTGTTGTAGCTCATCCTTGTTTTCTGCGTGGTTTCAGGTTCTAGGAAAGGGAAGGAAGTCCAGGAGTAGAAGTTCAGAGTCTGATCGGTTATAGGTATTTTGTACTTTTTGATTTTTGTACAGTCATGACTTTTCTTCTTTGTTCTTTCTGTCAGCTATGTACTGTATTTGTAGATGATTGTTTTGAGGAAAAGAAAAATATAGATGATTTATTCCGCTGCATTTAATGTTTCATGGTAGCTCTATGTGTCTGTTTTGAGTTGAAATATTTGGAAGAATCAGTTCCGAAGCAAATTCCAAAGCCAGATCCTGGTCTGTCTGGTTTGTTTGGCTAGTCGTGGCCCGGTGCTGGCGGGATCCGTCTCGGGTCGGGTCGTGACAGTCTCCGGCTTAGTCCTTCTTCACTCGAGTAAGGAGCATTCAGTGCTAATGGCTTTAGTAATTAAAGGACAGTGCCCCCTTCACACTAGTAACCACATACCCATTGAAGTGCAGAACTTATTACAGCAATTCCTTGATATCGGCCCAGAATCCTTGCCTGCTTCATTGCCACCACTCTGAGCATTACAACACCATATTTATTTACTTCCTGAAGCCGCCCTTCCCAATTTACCGCACTATAGATTGAGTCCTAAAGATCATGTGACACTACAACAGCTTGTAGATGAATTACTAGAGAAGAAATTAATTCAATCTAGTTTAAGTCCTTGTGCAGTCCCTGCGCTTTTAGTTCCGAAGAAGGATGGATAGTGGCAAATGTGTATGGACAGTAGATCTATCAATAAGATCACAGTTAGATTCAAATTTCCTATCCCACGAATTGATGAATTGCTTGAAAGGCTATTTATTTTGGTTGTCTTCTCTAAATTAGATTTACGCAATGGCTACCACCAGATCCGTATCCATTCTGGTGATGGATGGAAGACTACTTTCAAAACTCGACAAGGTCAATACAAGTGGAAGGTTATGCTCTTTGGGCTGTGCAATGCTCCTTCCATTTTAATGAGATTAATGAATGAAATATTGAAGCCATATCTTAATAAAATTTGCATGGTTTTACTTTGATAATATATTGGTTTTCATTCATTCTCTAATCGAACACTTGCATCACCTACAATAGATTTTTGAAATTTTGCGGCAAAACTAATTGTACTTAAACCTACCCAAATGTGAATTTGCAACCAGCACCGTATACTTCCTAGGTTTCATTGTGGTTGTTGATGGCGTGCGGGTTGATACTCATAAGGTTCGAGCAATCTCCGAGTGGCCTACTTGTTCTTTCTTTGATGTACGAAGTTTCCATGGCCTGACAAACTTTTACAGATGGTTTATACGTGGGTTCAGTATCTTAGCTGCACCATTAATTGACTGCCTAAAATTAAAGCAGTTCATATGGACAGACAAATAGCTGAGTGCTAGAGTAGTTTCGACGCTGTCAAAACTTCCTTATCCGTTGCCCATGTTCTTGCTCTTCCAGATTTTGAAAAGCCTTTCACTGTTAAAGCATATGCGTCTTCAACTGGTATTGGCGCCGAGCTAATGCAGCAGGGCAAACCTATTGAGTATTTCAGCGAAAAGCTCTCTCCAACCAGTCAGAAATAGAGCGTGTATGAGAAAGAGCTATATGCTGTCGTTCGAGCCCTCAAGCAATGGAACATTACTTGTTGCACCAAGATTTCGTGTTCCATAGTGATCATAAAGCTTTACAGTACATCAATACACCAAAGACAAGCAGTCGTATGCACGCTCGTTGGATCTTGTTTCTACAAAGATTCACTTTTGTTCTCAAGCATAAATCAGGTTCTGAAAATCGGGTCACAGATGCATTGAGCTGACAGTTGACGTTACTAGTACAGTTAACAATCGAAATCACTGGGCTTCAATATTTAAAAGAGTTGTATGATTCAGATAAGGATTTTAAGCAAATCTCGGTCGACTGCCTAGAAAATAATCATGAATTGAGTTACTCCATTAGATATGGCTACCTGTTTAAAAAAAACGCACTTTGCATACCCGAATCATCATGGCGTCAATAGCTTATCCGTGAGATTCATTGTGGGGGTCTCGCTGCTCATGTGGGTCGTGAGAAAACAATTGTGCGACTGCAATTATGATTCTTTTGGCCACATTTACATTGTGATGTAACCTGATTTGTAGAACGGTGTTCAGTGTGCCAATCATATAAAGGTGGCAATCAAAACACAGGCTTATATTTACCTTTATCCATCCCTGAGAAAATATGGGAAGATCTCAGCCTTAATTTTGTTTTGGGGTTGCCACGCACACAATGAGGAAAAGATTTTATCATGGTTGTAGTAGACAAGTTTTCTAAAATGGCACATTTCGTTGCCTGCAAAAAAACATTTGATGCTCTTTACATTGCTTGCTTATTTTTTAATGAGATATTGTGTTTACATGGTATTCTGCTTAGCTTAACATCAGATCGTGATGTTGTGGACCTTCCAAAGGACATTGATGGCTGCAGAGTGTAGAGGGTATACGGCCGCACCACCCCGAAGGATAGAAAAAATTACAGGCATCCGTGCTCCTCGCAAACGGGCCAATGGAAGGGCATATTAGATCGTAAATACGACTAACCATTGAGGATAACAGCTCTCGTCAACGCACCTTGATGGGTAGTAATATATACGATATGATCGAACGGGCTTCCTTCACCCGATACATCAGTTCGAGTGGGATTTATTTGATGGTGGAGTCCCGTTTCCCACGGCGCAAGCCCCGGTGGTTAATTACATCTCGAGCCTAGGGCTTGAGAATATTCTCGATTAAGGATCCAATATTATTCTTCCCAAAAAGGGGATTGGCATGAAAGGAGAGACTAAGAAATCCTACTCAAAGGAAAAGAGAGGGTTCCAAAATGGTTTAGTCAACATACACGACTAAGATCTGCATTCAGAGGGACTAATGTACCAACAAGAGATCATAGAAAAGGAATCATGCACTCACAGCATATAGAGGGAAAAGATAGAAGTGGCGTCATCCATGTGATGCGGATAAGCAAGATTTATAGTCCCTGAAGAAAATAAATTTACCTACTATTTAGGCATACTACGAGACACCCGGTGTAGTAACCTCGAATCCTAGATCTAAGGTGGGATTAATGTTCTACCCAACACTAATACTTGTGTCATAACTAATGCAATCTGGACTTATATCCTGCCTGAAAAGAAGTAGATTTGATTTGAAATCAAGAAAAAGGGAATTGGGTCAATTTGGGTCAACCCAAGTTGACCAGGTCAACCAGGTTGACCCAGGACCTGGGTCAGGGCTCAACAAACTTAGTCTGACCCACTAAACACAAGGGATAGGGTCTTGGGGCTTGGCCTGGTCAATTTGACCAGGTCAACCCTTTGACCCAAGGATCTGGGAAAAAACAAGGTCAACAGATCTCAAATTTATTAGTCACTTTTGGCGAGAATTATGGAAGAGGTTGAAAATTGATATCAATCTTAGCTCGGCCTTCCATCCTCAATTTGACGGGCAAACCAAGGTGGTTACCAGAATTTTGGGAAATATGTTGAAATGTCTTGTGCAGGAACACCCAAAGCTTTGGGATAGTCTACTAAGCCAGGCAGAATTTACATATAACAATATGGCCAGCAATTCCCCTGGTGTTTCTCCTTTCAGCATAGTATACACGAAGGTTCCCAATTACACTATTGATGTAGCAATCCTTCCAAAGTGCAGCAACCACAATGCCATTCAGATGATTGATCAATTTACGCATGTTAAACGATGTCCGCAAAAAAATCATAGCCTCTTATGCAAAATATAAGAAGCTGCCGATTCATACTGCTTGGAGAGGATTTTCAAACCAAGTGACTTAGTCATGGTTCGACTTCGCCGAGAATGTTTAGCTCCGGGCACTTTTTCCAAATTGGGCCGCCGAAAAGTGGGTCCTTTCCCAATATTACAAAAAATCAATGATAATGCCTATGTCTTTGATTTCCCCCTTGAGCTTGGTACAAATCCACCTTTAATGTGGCTGATCTTCATACATATTACCCTGCTGACGAAGCTCCTTCATCAATTTCTGCTGAGACAGCAGAATCCTCGCCAGAGAGGGCGACCTGATGCGGTGCATCATAAGCAAGCTAAGGAATACTTTACCGTTATGTTATTTTAGTGTTTTACTAGTTTTGCCTTTTCCAGCTCTATGCAGCTGATATATAGGCGTGGAGATAGGAAGAAGAAGATAGAAAAATATATACACTCCTAGTTTTCAGCTTAAAGCTTGATTTACCATGTTCCTGTTTCATTCGTTTTATTGTGAATCGCATATTTCTCCCGATTACCTTCTTTAAGGAATATGATGACTTGTTCATTCTAAGAAATCAGAACTTCTATCTTGCATGTATGCATATATGTATGGATGTGTGTGTGCATGGAAATGTATGAAGAACGAGCTTTTGTATATTGTGTTTATATGTGACTCAGCATTTAATGAATTAGCCTGAAACGAGCGGTTTATGATTTGTATACACCTTATTGAAGTAATGAAATACTTTACTACTAAATTTAGAATGCTTTTTCCAGCTATGCATGTATCTTTTTCCTTTGATGCTTATGCTTTTTTTGTATCTAGAAAATGGTAAATGGTGGGAGGGTTAGGAGCTGGACTTGCATCAATTTTGACCGAAATATACAAAATAATGTTATTCATAGATTCTGCGAGGAGCTAGCTGAGATGTGCCGTACGTCGGGGATGGTATGTATTCGTTATTAGTTCGTGTAGGAGATATCTTTCTTTTCGGTCTTATAATGATCTCTGAAAAATAGTTGTGTATATTTATACTGCTGCAGGAATTTGCTTCGGAACCTATTCTTCCTCCTATATTTGCACGGCCTGATCGAGTTGAAGGAGCATTGACAGCACGCCATCATGAAGCAATGAGTATAATGAATAAGGAACTTGATTTACTTATTGCAATATTGCCAGACAACAATGATTCTCTTTATGGCAAGTGAATCTCTCCTTCTTGATTTTGGTGTAATCCTTTGTATATATCTTGATTTATGCTTTTGCTGGATCTTGTTGTTATTAGGTTGTTAACTTTTAACTCTTCATGCTTGAGGTTCTAAAACGATTGTTTTGTTCTTCCAGGGAATTTGAAGCGTCTATGTGAGACTGAGCTTGGGTTAGTTTCACAATGTTGTTTAGCTAAGCATGTTTATAAGTTGAACAAACAGTATCTAGCCAATGTTGCTTTGAAGATAAATGTGAAGGTCTGCAGATTTAATATTTTAGAGCTTTGTATGTCGTGCCTTTTAATTGCAACTCCAGTAAAGTCAATCTTGATTTGTAGGTTGGAGGCCGAAATACTGTGCTTGTGGATGCTATATCTAGACGGATACCTTTGGTCAGTGACAAGCCTACAATCATATTTGGCGCTGATGTGACACATCCTCACCCTGGGGAAAACTCTAGGCCATCAATTGCTGCTGTAAGTTGGTTTATAATTAGTGAGAGATTATTCTGTGCGTACACCGGATGGGAGAACCGTCTGGTACTAAGCGCAGTAACAAGCAGTACGGACGCTCGGTATCATGCTCGCTATCGAGCGCAGTACACTTTTGGTGTGACGTGGCATATTTTTATTGGTCTCTAGATGACGTCCGGTGTCTGCACCTAATAATTTGTCATGATTAGCTATGCTTTTGAAACCGCTAGTTGGGACTTGACTTCTAGTTTTAATTACCAGTTTTTGTGTCTTCTATATATGGCAGGTTGTGGCATCTCAAGACTGGCCAGAGATAACTAAATATGCATGGCTGGTTTCTGCTCAGGCCAATCGCCAGGAACTTATTGAGGACTTGTATAAAATTGAACAGGATCCAAGACGTGGTAGTATTCCTGGTGGCATGATCAGGTGTGCTTTCTCTTCTGGTAACTTCGCTCTTGCATTTGGGTCCCTTGTCTCACCGAATGTATATTGGCATTCATTTTCAGGGAACTACTTCTTTCATTTAAAAGGGCAACAGGATTCAAGCCTGAGAGGATAATTTTCTACAGGTCCTGTGAATCAGATCTTTATGTCTACATGCTTGCTGATGCTGTGCGTTTCATCCAACCATTGTCTTTGCCAATGCAGGGATGGTGTGAGTGAGGGACAATTTCATCAGGTTCTGTTGCACGAACTTGATGCGATAAGGAGGGTATACATCTTTTTTTTTTGGGTTCTTTTTTTCCGTTGGAATATCTATTGAACTCCTTTCATTTAAACTTTCTTTTATTGACAATCTCTCCAGGCTTATGCTTTATACTGACATTGTTATAGGCTTGTGTTTCTTTGGAGTCTGATTACCTACCTCCTGTTACTTTTGTGGTTGTTCAAAAGCGCCATCACACTCGATTGTTTGCAAACAACCATAACGACCAACGTTCGGTTGATAGAAGCGGCAACATACTTCCTGGTTTATCCCTCTTTCTAATATAACATGCATTCCTTAATTTGGGTCTTTTTTGTGTAATTATAGTAAAATTTCTTGAATATTGCGACTGTAGGCACGGTTGTTGATTCAAAAATTTGTCATCCCACCGAGTTTGACTTCTACTTGTGCAGTCATGCTGGAATTCAAGTATGTATGCTTGCTTCTCTCATGCTTTGATTATTCCATATTTAGACTTCATTTGGGACGGTATTTTTGCTGCTTTCTAAAACAAATTTTTAGTATAAAATTTTCTAATTCAAAAAATTTTTATACTAAAAAGTTGTTTTATAAAACATTAAAAAAAAAAATTGTCCCAAAGAAAATCTTAAATTATCATAAGGCTTACAATATCATGCTTTTTGCAGGGTACTAGCCGGCCTGCACATTACCATGTATTATGGGATGAAAACAAATTCTCTGCTGATGCACTGCAGATGCTTACCAATATCTTATGCTACACGTAATGAATCTCCATTATATTTATTCTTTCCTTGCATGTTCTATTTAAACGTTTTTATAATTTTACCACCTTGTCTCTCCTGCAGATATGCAAGGTGCACAAGATCAGTTTCAATTGGTAATCTCTCTGTTTCACCTTCAATTAAGAAACACGTAAATAATTTCATTGAAAGAGGTGTCTAAGTTTATAGATCTGTTGTCTAACTAACTTTTCTCTTTACAGTGCCCCCTGCATATTATGCCCATCTTGCTGCTTTTAGGGCAAGGTTTTATATGGAGACAGAGACGTCGGATAGTGGCTCAATGGTAAGTGCTGCGGCTGGCCGAGCTTCTGCTGCAAGCGGTTCTCGCAACGATCGAGCACCTGGAAGTAGTGCTGTGAGGCCTCTACCTGCTCTAAAGGACAATATCAAGCAGGGGATGGTCTATTGCTGAGGTATTCTGCCAGTTATTGCTCTATTTCCTTATCTCATCAGGGTTCAAAACTGACTGTAAATTCAGACTTGTCTTTTATCTTAGAACATGTCTATTTCCCACGTCCAGCATAATTAGTATTTTGGTGTTTGGGAGTGTCTTTAAATGGAGATATTATTATGTGCAGAGACCGAATGCAGAATATCATCCGGAAACTGTCAGAATGTGTCACGTCAGTAGTACCGAGCCACGGTACCGAGCAAGGGGTGACGTGATATATTCTGGTTGGTCTTCGGTCGGCGTTCGGCATCCGCACAAAATAATTAATCCTTTAAATGTGGCTGTAATGATTATGTAGTTGTGTTTGAAGTGACATTTTTCTTAGCACCATGAACTTGTTTGTGATATACTTTGTAGTATATATGCTCATGTTTATTGTTCGGATTTCAGTGCTTTTATTGATGATTTGTATTAGAATTGGTTGGATCTGTGTTGTCGCTTTACAGCATGTAGCATCTGTTAAAATTTTGTTATCATTATCGACTTTCATTAAGCTGCCATAATAAAAAAACAAGTTGTAAAAGCTAATTTTTATTCATTTTTATCTTCTTTGATCTCCTCTTTCATCATCGACATTCTTGTTGAAGTAAAACAACTTCATGTTGATTCTCTTCAAAACTTGAATTGTTTTTGCTGAAAGTTTTTGCTTCAGAACGCTGTAAATATAAGCTTAGCTCTGTTCAATCATGTTAAGGGGCTGTTTGGTAGCAGGATTTAGGCCGGATTTGAGCGAAATTCAGCCAAACGGCCTAAAATGCAAAATCAAATCTCACGGCAAATGAAAGCCACCGTAGACAGGAAATTCCGCCTTTTCATGCTAAATCTTGAATTTCTAAAATCCTATTTTTTGTCAGATTTACGAAATCCATTCGCTCGAGAGGAAGAGTCCGCTCGTTAAATTCGCTCTATAGCCAAACAGTTACATCGGATTTAATGAGATTTATCATGAATGTTACCAAGATTTAGACCTCACAGAAGATTTATGAAATCGTATTTAAATCAAATCCTAGGTGCTTCAAACAGCCCCTAAATGAGGGTTCTTGTTCGGCTAATTTAGGTTTAATCGGTTTGCTTAATCGATTTGAACATGAGATTGTGAAGAGATTTCTTGGAATTAGTAGCATGCATGGTTCCATTTGAGACTTCAAAGGTCTTTCTTTAAATAAAAATCAATCAAATTATTCTAAAGAGACAGAAATTGTGCAGCCTGTGACCCAATCAGGTAAAGCAGACAGAGCTCATCCAATCCCAAGTACTTTGACAGGCTGAGTGCTTCATAACTCATGCCAACACAACTATTTTAGAAACTCATGCTTGATTTGGGACAGCTTTCTTACTGCTTCTTAAAACAGTTTTTTAATATAAAAATTAAAAATTTTATATTAAAAAATTGTTTTAAGAAACAGCAGGAAAGCATTCCCAACCGAAATCATTCTCTATCAATCACGGTGAGTATTGAAGTGCGCCGGACTCCATGAACTCCAAAACTTTCTCCACCGCCGGTCGGGCTCGAATCACTTCCCACCAAGCTTTCACAAACTTCTTATCATCCAAAATGCAACCCATTCCACATCCCTCAACAAGCGCACGCATGGTGGGAATATGAGTGAGATCAGCGAGTGTGAAACAATCCCCAGCCAAGTACTTTGTCTTGGACAGCTGCTTCTCATACACATTCAGAACCTTGGAGAGCCTTTTGGCAAAGGAGTCAGCTTCGGCCTTGTTGCCTGCCAGGCCTTGTTTTGGCAGAATGAAAAGGTTGAAGACAATGGGAAAGACTAGTGGGTTGAAATTTATGGCTTCTATGTCGATCCATTGGTCTATTCGCGCGCGCTCTTCAAGATTCTCGCCTAATAGTTTGCTGCCTGTCTCTGCGTACTTCGCCGCATAGTAGCGGATGATTGCACGCGATTCTATCAAATGATCAAAATGGTTCATTGACTCTTTACAAAAGATCAATAATATCTCTAACTATATTAAAAGATCATTTTAATTTTTTAATGGGAAAGATGATATGTTAGACTATCTCCAACCAAATTCCATACCATTATATGTTATCTGTCATTTGGTTCATTTGAACTCTAAATCATACGCCAAATTTCGGTAAATGAACAATGCGACGCCAATATTAGCGTCGGACTGTTCACCTACACCAAAAAAGTTCACTGTGGGATTTGCCAAAGAAGTACGCGAAAGAGGAGAAAAGCGCGTCAAAGTTGATAACCTTCGCAGAAAGTGCAAGAAAGAAGAAGAAATAACATTTGATTGGAGAAGAATGACTGCAATTTGGAGTGAAAAATGAATTTTTCGGTTGAAGATGCCCTTAAATCGGGGTTGGAAGTTTTAGCCAATATTTAATTAATAATAAAATTGAGTAAATTCTTAGTACATTAAGAGTATTAAAATGAAAAGAAAAACATTTTAAATTATATTGAATTTAATAAATTTCATTACTATAAAATATAAATAGGAATTGGGCACTAACCAAAAAGCTCAAATTCCCCATCTACAATATATGGAATTTGCCCAAACGGCTGCACAAAAAAAAAAAAAAAAAAAAAAAATAAAAAAAAAAATACCAAAAAAAAAAAAAAAAAAGAAATTTGCCAAAAAGGCAGAAAAAAAAAAAAAAAAAATAACAATAATAATAATAATAACCAAAAGAAAATAATAATAATAATAAAAAATTAAACCTGCTTGGCCATGTAGTGAGGCTCCTTATGCTCCATTTTGGATAGATCAACCAAATCAATCTCAAAGGGAACTTTCTTCTCAATGAGGCATAGCATAACTCTCTGAGGGCAAACGGCCGAAGCCATGCCATAGATTTTCACCACCATAGCTTTCTCAAAAGCGCTTTTGAAAGAAAAAAAGGAGAAAGAGAAGGGGCAAAAGCTAGCTATGTATATGGCTTGCCTATGCTCTCTTTTTATAATAGATTTTGGTAAACACGTGAGCACCGAACAGTCAGAAGAGATCATATGAGGACCGTTGGATTCAAAGGTTGTTGGCTTCAACGGCCTCATATCACTATTTTTAAAAATTCTAACTCATATATATATTTTATATCAAATTCTCAATAATTTGATTGTGAAATATAAAACACATAGGAGTTTGATACTTTAAAAATTTGTTGTAAATTATAGGTTTTTAAATATATTTTTAAATTCATATATAAATATTAAAATTAATAATAAAATCATAATCTATATTTTTCTCTTGTGTTAATTTTCTAATGACTTAATTGTGGCTTTGACAAACTCATTAATCTTACGAGAATTATTACGTGCATAGTCCGGATGGGAGAACTATTTGGATTTGCTCAGTATATGCAAATACTCAGCAAATATTCATTTGTGAGTATTTATTGAGTGTGCTCATGAATTTTGTAAGTATTTGTTGAATATTTTTTTTAGTATTTATAAATACTCAATAAATATTCAATAAATCTGAAAAATTCTCTCGTCCAAACACCACACATAATAACGTCTCTAATCTTATAGCTCAAAAAGAAGACCTAGTCGTATGAAAACATTAGAGGAGATGTATCATCAGGGAGAAAGAGCAGAGATTGCTTGGGCAATGGCTGTCCTTGGCTATGTTACAAAGCTTGTAATGGGTGTTATTGGGTTAATTGTTTCATTTGCTTCCTATGCATGCGCAATCTCTTCGTGGAATCAAATATCTTTTTAAGTACAATATCTTCCCCTATGCCTTTGTGGTGTTGGAATTTTTATTCCGTCAGGTTAACTGACATAGCTCTACGTCAGGTAGCCTATAATATATCGCCACGTGCTCTTACTCTTTACCGCGCGGCCCGACGACCCGACCCGGAACAGACCCGCTAGTTTGCGTAGCTCGATATTGCTAGGTATTGGTCGATTTTGCTTGACAAAAATGAAAAATAGTATTATGTGAAGACCAATACCGAGCCTATACCAAGCAATATTGAGCAATACCGAGTTCTTTTAGGTATTGCTCGGTAGCCTTCACAGAACTTTATTTCTCGTTATTGTCAAGCAATACCGAGTAATACCTAGCAATACCGAGCCTATACCGAGCAATATGCGAACATAGTAATCCCGGATTCCGGTCCGAGTTGGGTCGTCGGGCCGCACGGTAAAGAGTAAGAGCACGTGACGACATATTATAGGCTACCTGACGTAGAGCTACATCAGGTAACCTGACGGAATAAAAATTCGTGGTTTTGGCGGCGATCACTTTCCCATACTATCTGACATTTGGGTACGTAGAGCTACATCAGGTAACCTGTGATCCAATGTCGAAGAATTTCAATCTCTCATCTCCTTCGCCTCCTCTCATCCAATGTCGAAGAATTTCAATCTCTCATCTCCTTCGCCTCCTCATTTGATTTGCATGCAATCAAGCAACTATATTTTAAATACATGCATTTCATTTACTCTACTTTCAAAAATTTCAAAAATACATGCAATCAAGCTTTACAAATACACAAATGAATGGGCTATCGAAATTTCAAAAATTTCATGATTGGGCTGGATCGGATCGTCAGGTCGTAAGAAAAAAATACATAGCACTAAGAAATCCACATGTCTTAATTTAATTGGATTTCAGGTGTAGAGCTACGTCCAGACTCCACACAAAAACTTCTCCACCTCAAGAGACCGTTATCATAGTTTTCAATGCGATGAAGATCTATGTTCATAAAGCTTTCAAGAACACAATCAATGCAAAAGGTTTGTAACCTGGAAAAGATCAGCTGGATAATTCGAACGAGCATTTGGCTTCTTCTTCCTCCACGTACCCAAATGTCAGATAGTATAGGAAAGTGATCGCCGCCAAAACCACGAATTTTTATTCCGTCAGGCTACCTGATGTAGCTCTACGTCAGGTAGCCTATAATATGTCGCCACGTGCTCTTACTCTTTACAGTGCGGCCCGACGACCCAACTCGGGCCAGAATCCGGGATTACTATGTTTATATTGTTGAGTATTTGTATGTGTTCAAGTTTATATAAATACACAATATTTTATTTGTTCATTTAAAAGTTATTTGAGCTTTTACATAGCTGCATATAAAAAAAAATTATGTTTAAAAATATGATTTTTTGCTAAAATGCAATGTGTGCTGGGGTGTATTTGCGTGTACGTATTGTTGTATTTTGCTATGTATTATTATGTAATTTGTTGTGCATTTTATTTTGTATTGTTGTGTAGTTTATTGTGTATTGGTGTGTATTGTTGTATATTACTATGTATTGATGTGTATTGTGTATATTATTGTGTATTGATGTGTATTTTACTATGTGTTGGTGTGTATTGATATTTATTGCTGTGTATTATTATGTATTTTATTGTGTATTGTTGTGTATTTTACTGTGTATTGTTATGCATTGATATGTATTTTACTATTTATCGATGTGTATTGGTGTATATTTATATGAATTATTGTGTATTATTGTGTATTGGTATATATTGATGTATATTACAATGTATTAGTGTATATTTTGTTGTGTTGTTATGTATTTTATTGTGTATTAATGTCTATTTTATTATTTATTATTTTATATTATTATGTATTAGTGTATATGGATGTGTACTGCTGTATGTTGGTGTGTATTAGTGTTTATTGTTGAATATTATTGTATATTGCTATGTATTTGACTATGTATTATTGTGTAGTTTATTATGTATTGATGTGTGTTGTTCTCTATTACTATATATTTTATTGTGTATTGGTGTTTATTGGTGTATTGTATTTATTGTTGTGTTTTTACTATGTATTTGTGTGTACTAGTGTGTATTATTGTGTTTTGGTTTGTATTGTTGTGTATTTCTATATATTATTGTGTATTGATGTGTCTTGTTGTGTATTTCTATGTATTTTATTGTGTATTATTGTATATTTTACTGTGTTTGACTGTGTATTGTTATGTATTCAAGCTTATATGAATACAAAATATTTTGTTTTATCATTTAAAAGTATTTTTAGAGCTTTTACGTAATTGTGTATTAGAAAAATTATGTTGAAAAATATAATTTTTTGCTAATATGCACTATATATTGCTAGGTATTGTTGTGTATTATTATTAAGTATTAAAGTTTATATGAATCCACAATATTTTTTTTTCATTTGAAAGCGTTCAAGCTTTAGCTCTATTAGAAAAATTATATTGAAAAATATGATTTTTTGGCTAATATGCACTATATATTGTTGTTTTATTAAGTATTTCACCTTATATGAATACACAATATTTAATTTATTTATTTAAAAGTTTTTTGAGCTTTTACACAGCCTTATATTAGAGAAATTATGTTGAAAATTTTAATTTTTTTTGTAATACACACTATGTATTGTTGTATATTGTTGCATAGGTCAAATCAAATATGATCAAGATAATTTTTTTAAGATTGAATTTGTTTTAAGATGATAATACTATGAGAGTTGATTAATTGACAAGTCATATATTATATATATTTTTAAGTAAACTTTTGCTATTAATTGACAAGTCAAACATCCAATTTAATTTGTAAATAAAAAGTATATAAGTATAAAGAATGCTAATAATTTATCACAAGAGTATAATAAAGATAATTATTTACAAGTTTATATTTTCACTAAATGCTTCTCATATAATTATCTCAAATTATTTCATTCTAGAATCTCATGTCCCTATAAAAAAAATTTTAAAAATTACATCAAATGAACAAATTCGTGAGACCAAAAAATTACAATTTTCAATATAATTTCTTTGATACATAGCTGTGTAAAAGTTCAAAAAGTTTTTAAATGATCAATTAAAATATTTTGTATTCATATAAAATTGAATGTACAACAATACAATATAGCAATACACAGTAAAATATATAACAATACACTACAAAATATATGATAAAATATATAATAATACACAATAATTATACACAACAATACACTAATAAACATCAATACATACAAATATACAGTAGTACAAAACAATATATACCAATACACATCAATACACATTATAATACACCAGTAATACACAATGATACACAATAATAAACATCAATACACACTAATACACAATAATATATATCAATATACACCAATACACAATAATATATACTAATAGACAGTGAAATACACAACAAAATATACAGTAATATCACTATAGGAAAATCACCCATTTCCGGCGGCTTTTTCCGGCAGAATTTGAGCCTTTTTCGGCGGTTTTTTAATTTAGCGGCGGTTTTCCGACGGCATTTTTTCCGCCGGTAAAAATGGCGTAAAAATACACACTAATACACAATAATATATATCAATATACACCAATACACAATAATATATACTAATAGACAGTGAAATACACAACAAAATATACAGTAATATCACTATAGGAAAATCACCCATTTCCGGCGGCTTTTTCCGGCAGAATTTGAGCCTTTTTCGGCGGTTTTTTAATTTAGCGGCGGTTTTCCGACGGCATTTTTTCCGCCGGTAAAAATGGCGTAAAAAAATTATTTCCGACGGCTTTTTCCGGCGGCCAATAATGCCGGCGGCTTGCCGGCGGGCATAAACCGCCGGTTTAATTAAAAAAAAAATATAAAAAAATCTTCACGCACTGCCGCTACCACTATACGACGTCCCGCCACCCCGCCAGCAGGCCGCTCAGCGCTGCCTGTCCGCGCGTAGCATCGGACCGCGCCCGCTCTGTCCGAGCCTGACCTCGGCCCGCATGAGCCAGTCGGCCGAGGTGCGCGACCCCCGCTCCCGCGTTGTCTTTACCCTGCGATTCGAACCTTGCCTTCACCCGCATCCCCAAGCCCCGACCAATTGCGCGCGATCCTGCAAAATAGTAAAGGTAGTATATTCGTATTTTTAGAACATTATGACATATTATTATGCTTTCATTTATTTTTATTTTTAATTGATAATT